AGATGCATAGAATAAGTCTTAATTCCAGTAACTCAGTCTAGTCCGGTTTGCTCCCCACACTAGGCCATAAAGCAAGTCTCAGCAAATTAAAAATAATCAAAATCATAACATGCATCTTCTCTGACCACAATGGGATGTAACTGGAAATCAAGAACTTAAGAATCTCTAGAACATATGTAAACACCTGAAGACTAAAAAACATGCTCCTGAATGAACAGTGGGTCACTGAAGAAATCAAAAGAGAAATCAAAAATTTCTGGAAATGAATGAAGACAATCCAACATATAAAAACGTACAGGATATGGGAGGAAGGGGAAGTCCCACTTTGTTCCTAAATCTGTATATATGAAATATATGAAACTTGTATAACTAAAATAAAATTTTAAAAAAATTTAAGGAAACTTCCTCATCCATAACGAATAAAGGATGGGGCCAGCGCTGCAGCTCACTAGGCTGATCCTCCACCTGCGGCACCGGCACCCCTGGTACTAGTCCCGCTTGGGGCGCCAGATTCTGTCCCAGTTGCTCCTCTTCCAGTCCAGCTTTCTGCTGTGGCCCGGGAGTGCAGTGGAGGATGGCCCAAGTGCTTGGACCCTGCACCTGCATGGGAGACCAGGAGGAAGCACCTGGCTCCTGGCTTCGGATTGGCACAGTGAGCCGACCATAGCACCATTTGGGGGGTGAACCAATGGAAAAGGAAGACCTTTCTCTCTGTCTCTCCCTCTTAAAAAAAAAAAAAAGAATGTGTTCCTTTTAAAAAAATTGTATTTGTATGAAAAATACTTTTGCATCAAAACAGATACCAACATCACAATGAAAATAATCTAGAAACAAATTCCTAGATGCAAAACAGAAAGATAAGGAAGTATATTTGGCAATTCTAAATTGATTATATCTGAAAAAAATCTCACATATATAAAATATTTTTATATATATGTTACAGAATTCATAGACTCCCTGAAGCTATAGGTGCTGTTAAGAATCCATGTTTTGGGCTGGCACCGCGGCTCAATAGGCTAATCTTCCACCTTGCGGCACCAGCACACCAGGTTCTAGTCCCGGTCGGGGCGCCGGATTCTGTCCTGGTTGCCCCTCTTCCAGGCCAGCTCTCTGCTGTGGCCCGGGAGTGCAGTGGAGGACGGCCCAGGTCCTTGGGCCCTGCACCCCATGGGAGACCAGGAAAAGCACCTGGCTGCTGCCTTCGGATCAGCACGGTGCGCCGGCTGCAGCGCGCTGGCCACGGGGGCCATTGGAGGGTGAACCAACGGCAAAGGAAGACCTTTCTCTCTGTCTCTCTCACTGTCCACTCTGCCTGTCAAAAATAAATAAATTAAAAAAAAAGAATCCATGTTTTAACCTTTTTTTCCATAGATAATTGTGATGAATGCTATTTTCATTCTCTCTTCTTTTAATTACTATGCTATTCTGCTTGAAATTCAGATGTCATTGCTCAGAATGTTAAGGGTAAGGACCTCCAAAGTGGAATTCTATATGGATCAGATTTTAGGGTTTTAATTCAACTATCTTTAGGTACACCATGTACTACAAAGGTATTTTAGGAGCAGGCCTGGCCATTAAGACATCTCTATCCCATATTGGAATTCCAGGGTTTGACTGTTTACTACAGTATCTTGCCAATGCAGATCCTGAGAGGGGGCAGTGATGACTCAAATAACTGGATTCCTGTCATTTATGTGGGAAATCTAGATTGAGTTCCTGGCTCCTGGCACCAGCCAGGTCACTGTGGGCATCTAAGGAGCGAACCAGTAGATGGGAGCACATGCTTACACACTTTATCTTTCTCTCTCCTCTCCCCAATTTGTCAAATAAATAAATTTTTAAAATCTACTACATGTGTAAATGCAAGTTTATCCCAAATGAACATATTAAATGTTTGTAAATTTAGGAACATATATATTTTCATTAAATAGCTAAAATTTATTGAGCACTATCCTATAGACAATACCTTGACTATTTCACCTGCCTTATCACCTCTGACCATCACAACTACTCTATCAGGTAGGGAATATTATATTGAGTATAAAATTGAGAATACTGATATTCAAAGAAGGAAAAAATGTTCAAGGTTTCAAAGTAAGGCAAAGGCTACGATTTTATTTCAGGCCTAGATGACTCCAGACTTTCTACTGTCTTTCTATATAAAAATACATGCTGTACAAAAACAATAGCTTTTGGCCAGAACAAGGGAAAATTAGAAGTGATAAAATAGTAGGAGTTTCTTGACTCTCCAGTCACACAGAATAAATGGACAGTTTCCTAATATGCAAAACATTCATAAAAAAAAAACAGTGCTGAAACTAGAGTATCTGTTACAAATCTGATCCAATTCTAAGAAAATATAGTTTCTTCATAGTTTAAGGATGAGAAAAATCAACTCTGAACTGAATTCTGATAAAATAAACATGAATTAAATCACCCAAGGAGTCCATAAAGAAAGTGTGCAATGTATGCACAACGGAATGTTTTTCTACCATAAAAAAGAATGCCATCTTGACATTTGTAGCAATTGGAGAATATCACATTAAGTGAAATAAGCCAGTCACAGAAAGATAAATATTGCCTCTTTAATATTTGGAAGCTTTAAAAATCTAAATGTAGAATACTAATAGAGCCTGGGAGTCATAAGGGGGACAGTAGGGACTTCAATAATAGATACCATATCACAGTTAGATCAAAGAAACAATGTGACTACAATCCATAATAACCCATTATATATTTTATGTGCAAATAGAAGGAGCTCTAAATCTCCCAATATAAAGTAACGTCAAATATAAGGAAAAGTTGATTACCTTGATTCAATCAATACACACTGCATATCACACTGTAGCCCATAAATATATACAATAAAAAACTTAAAAAGCGAACTACTATCAGTACATAAAATATCACTTTCCCACTTTATTAAGACAAAATAAATGTAATTAAAACTCCTAGGGCTGGCGCTGTGGCACAGTAAGGTAATCCTCGGCCTGTGGGGCCCACATCCCATATGCCTGTCCTAGTCCTGGCAGATCCAGCTCCCTGTTGATGGCCTGGGAAAGCAGTGCTTGGGCCCCTGCACCCATGTGGAGACCAGGAAGAATCTCCTGGCTCCGAATCAGCCCAGCTCCCAGCCTTTGTGGCCATTTGGGGAGTGGACCAGCAGATGGAAGACCTCTCTGTCTCTCAAATAACTAAATAAACCTTTTTGAAAAAACTCCTAATATTTTCTCTCCATACTCCAAACTATCATCTTCAAGATGAACCCTAGGATATTAAAACAACCTCACTGCTCTAGTCTTCAGAAAAATACATGGCCCTTGCCTTTCATGTCACTGCAATTTAGGATTACATCTATTTTTGTGTTAAATAAGAAATTCCTTCATGAGTTTCCAAAAATGCCTCTAGATGGCAATATTATTCCTATTGTGAATCCCTCAGCATTGGGCTATACCATGGTGCATTCATAATGCCTTGTATTATCGCAAGAAGAGAAAACATCTTAAGAGCTCTGTTTATGATATCTCATCTTGGAAGATAAAGAAGGCAGTGACCAGAACGCTATTTAGAACAACTTCAACTTAAAAGGACCATAACAAATATGTTTAGATTTAAATATTGCAGAAAGACATTTAAAATATAAATTAGCATTGGTCAGCACAATCTGACCAGAACTTCATTTTAACTGATTAAATGTTCAAAGCAGATTAGCTAATAATAAATAGGCTCCTACTTCTCTGGAGAAGTCTTAGAATATAAGCCAAGGAAAGGCTCTGCTCTTCTTTGGCAGGAGGTGAACACAAAAACAAAACAACTTGGGTGAAACAGGAAGTCTGCTTTGATAAAATGAATGGGAATGGAAGAGGTGAGCCACTCACAATGAATGACCTGAGCTCAGTTTCCCAGATGATTGTTCTAGATGCAGTTTAGACAGACGTCTCATACTCCACCCAATAGATTAGGAAGAGTTGTAACCACATTCCGAGGGAAAGAGCGCTTTCCTGTGAGACAATAACCTGCCTTTGACCTAGGAGTGGGAGAAAGGCCGCACTGGAGTTGAAGTCACTTAATTTCTCGCTCAGAATACATAATATTTAGGCCTATTTTCTTTTTATAAAGATTTATTTGAAAGGCAGAGTTACATAGAGGGAGACACACACACACACAGAGAACCTATTTTCTTTTAAAAGTCTGTACAAATTTCAAAGTGAATCCAACTATATGAACAAATTATGTTGGATTTCTGACAAATTTATCTCCTTAGCTATCTTAGGAACCATTCTATAACAATGGTTCTCAAAACACTTTCATTATTATTCATACAAATTATTTCACCGTTAATGGAAAACAATTCTATGATGAGCAAAAATAAAATTTTAAATAAGGACAGGACTTGATGCAAAAAAAAAAAGCAATATGGATCCCATCTTTATTGTTATTATGGGCCTTTCTGCATGATTCTGATTTTTAAAAATACTATTTATCTTGATTACTAAGTTTTTGGGGTTCCCTTAAATTTGGTGCAAAGTTAAGTGCCACGTTAATCTCAGCTCTGTGCTTCAGTACTTCTCAAGAACAAGCAGAATCTTTTCAACGACAGGTAGCACAGTACTGAGGCCCCAATATTTTCGTACTTTTGCTAAGCGTACCATTTCAACAAATACGCAAGTGAGAGCAGTAATCAACATATAGGCTTTCAATTCTGGGTGGTAACCACGTTCCTGTGGGGGCAGGCTCAGGTGCACCACGGCGTTAATCCGGTAGCAGCAGAGCTAATTTTAGAGGGAGATGGTAGTCTCTCCTGGTCATCAGTAGCCCTTCTTGGCCCTGGGAAGGCAGAGCCTTTTAGGCTGGCTAAGAACCAAAATTGCAAAAGACTAAGGAACAAATTCATCCCCAACAGACGTGGCCGTGGGTTCTACAGCCCTCAGCTTCAGGGCCACCTCCCTTCTCTGGGAAGCCGGCGGGGAACGGCCGGCCCAGGGGCCCGCCACACCTACCCTGCTCGCGGGGAATCCGCACCAGGCAGTCCACCATGCCCTTGTAGCGCGTCTCGGGGCTGATCTGCTTGGACGACGCCTGCACCTGCAGGAGGAGCTTCACCCGCTCGATGGGCGCCACTGCCGTCTTGGACACAGCCGCCGCGACCCCGCCGGCCAGCAGGTCCCTTCCGAAGGATGCGGCGTCAAACAGCCGCTTCTCAGCCTTCTTCTCCGGCTTCTTCTTGGCAGGCTCACGCTGCATAGTGGGAGGATGGACGCAAAAACCAGCAGCCCCAAACGAATGAAAGCTACCACGAAAGGAAGCACCAAACCGCTTCAGCGTCGTCGTGGCGGGAAGGAAGCGCTTAGGACGCTGGGAAACAGGCGGGCCTGCGCGGGGTTCCGAGGAGCTGCGCAGGCGCCTCCAACGGCCTCCCGCGGCCCGGCGCCTGACACGTGACTCCAACACGTGGGCCCCGCGCAAGGCAACGCCAGGCCTGTCGAGGCGCCTGTCTCCCTGTCTCCATTTGCGTTTGGGGAACGGAACTGCAGGCGGTGTAGCAGCAAAACCGGAACAGAGTACGGAGCTACTTTGTGTGGTTAACTGAATTTATTTTCCAGGATTATTCACTTTCTCTTAGAAGAAATAGCTTTAATATGTTCCTTTAATGTAGCAGGTGTCTCCCTCACCTTCTCACTGTATGGTATAGCTTATTATGCAACTCATAGTGTGATTCAACATGTTCCTCTTTTCCAATTTTTATTTAAATTGGGAATTCTTGGGACTGACGCTGTGGCGGAGCGGGTTAATGCCCTGGCCTGAAGCGCTGGCATCCCTATGGATGCCGGTTCTAGTCCCAGCTGCTCAACTTCCCATCCAGTTTTCTGCTATGGCCTAGGATAGCCGTAGAAGATGGCCCAAGTCCTTGGGCCCCTGCACCCGTGTGGGAGACCTAGAGGAAGCTCCTGGCTCCTGGCTTCTGATCGGTGCAGCTCCAGCCGTTGCGGCCATTAGGGGAGTGAACCATCGGATGGAAAACCTTTCTCTCTCTGCCTCTCCTCTCTCTGTGTAATTCTTTCAAATGAATAAATAAAAATCTTTTAAAAAATAAATTTGGAACTAGTTTTTTTAAAAAATTTTAAAAAGATTTATTTTATTATTTGGAAGGTAGAGTTACAGAGACAGGGAGGGATCTTCTGTCTTCTGGTTTACTCCCCAAATGGCTGCCAACAAGTAGGGCCTGGTCAGGCTGAAGCCAGGAGCCAGGAGTCTCTTCCAGTCTCCCAGGTGAGTGCAGGGGCCCAAGGATTTGGGTTATTTTCCACTGTTACCCCAGGCAAGTTAGCAGGGAACTGTTTGGGAAGTGGAACAGCTGGGGCTAAAACCCAGGGCACCCCATATGACAGCTTAACCGGGTCCGTCCCAAGAGATTTTTTTTTTTAAGGAGTGCTTCTCAGTCCAGCATGCATATTCCGAGGGTATTGGGAGGGTAGGGTTTTGTTTTCTTTGATGTTTGGTATTGGGTCCTGACCATGAAGTTGGAACCTCTAGTCATGAGGCTTAGCATCCATATTTAAGTTCTCCAGGTAATTCTACTGTGCAGGGTTGAGAGCCAGTGACCTGCTCTAATATAGTTGTTCATAGACTTTTTTTTTATTGCAGTACCCGCTTTTTCACTCTCAAAAATTACTGAAAGCACAAAGACACTGCTGTTTTTGTGATATGTATTCAGCATATCAGAAATTGTTTGAAAACAATTCAAAATAACAATAAGTTCATTACAGGATAACAAAAATAACACTTTTAAGTGAAAAATAATTCATTAAGAAACTAGTTTTGAACTCTCAGAGTTCCTAAAAGTGTCTCAGACACAAGAGGGGTCCCTTGTATCATGCTTAAAAAAAAAAAAGATTTATTTGAAAGAGTGGCAGAGAGAGGGAGAGGCAGATAAACCACCACCTTGTTCATTTCTTTTTTTTTTTTTTTTTCCTTTATTTCAAAGTCAGAGTTACACAGAGTCAGAGAGAGGGAGAGAGGGGTCTTCCATCCGATGGTTCACTCCCCAATTGGCTGCAACAGCCAGAGCTGCACCAATTCAAAGCCAGGAGCCAGGAGCTTCCTCCAGGTCTCCCACGCGGGTGCAGGGGCCCAAGCACTTGGGCCATCTTCTTCTGCTTTCCCAGGCCACAGCAGAGAGCTGGAGCAGCTGGGTATCAAACTGGCACCTATATGGGATGCCAGCGCTTCAGGCCAGGGTGTTAACTCGCTGTGCCACAGTGCCGGCCCCATCACCTGGTTCATTTCTTAGTTGGCCACAACAGCTAGGCTTAGGCCAGGCCAAAGCTGGAAGCCAGGAACTCCATCTTTGTCTCCCATTTGGTGACAATGGCCCAAGTACCTCGGCCACATTCTGCTAGCTTCCTAGATGCATCAGCAGAAATATGGATCAGAAGTAGAGCAGCTGGGACGTGAACCACTTGATAAGGGACACTGGTGGTGGTGGCTTAACGCAGCTGGCCTCCTCGTATCATACGTTTGCGTATTCATTTAAAATATCAGATTCAGCTTTTACTTGTTTCGGCTACAATACTCAGCAGCTGTACATGTATCCTGTATATAATAACTGTCTCTATTTTGTTCCATTCTACCTTTTTCACTTAATATATCCTGGCAATCCCTCTATATACAGATGATGTATTCCTAATTCTTTTCTACAGCTAGTTTGATGATTTTCAATAAGTAGAGATTTGATCTTATCATATCTTACCATGTAGGTCCTACAGAGCCTTGAAACACACGTGTAACAAGTAAGGTCAGTTTTTGGCTTTTTTAGACATCAGGTTCTAAATTTTTTTCTTTTTATCAGATTTATTTCTTTATTTGAAAGTCAGAGTTACACAGAGAGAGGAAGAGACAGGTAGATAGAGATCGAACTTCCATTTGCTGGTTTACTCCTAAATGGCTGCAACTGATGGGGCTAGGCCAGGCAGAAGCCAGGCACAGGAGCTTCTTCCATATATCCTACATGGGTGCAGGAACCCAAGCAGTTGAGCCATCTTCTGCTGCCTTCCCAGGCACATTAGCAGGGAGCCGCGTTGGAAGTGGAGCAGCTGGGAATTGAACCCATGCCCATATGAGATGCCAGCATTGCAGATGGCTACTTTACCCGCCATGCTACACCAGCCCCTCTTTATTATCCTCATGTGTTATAACATTTTCTAATACTGTCATTAGCATAAAATCATTTATGCCAGAAGGATTCCAGACTAGGAACTTTGTTAATATTTTGGTTATCTCACATAAAACCAGTTAGCAAGTTCTGACATCTTATGTTTGATCCTGCTTCCTTTCCATAGTGGCTTATTCCTTGTAACTTCATTTTCTCTATCCATTTGACATGCCGCTGCTAGATGAACCTTTCCGAAGCCGTTGCATTACTCATTATTATTTTTTTTTTTAAATTTTTTGCTAGGCAGAGTTAGACAGTGAGAGAGAGACAGAGTTATAGACAGTGAGAGAGGCTGGCGCCATGGCTCACTAGGCTAAACCTTTGCCTTGCGGCGCCGGCACACCGGGTTCTAGTTCCAGTCAGGGCGCCGGATTCTGTCCCAGTTGCCCCTCTTCCAGGCCAGCTCTCTGCTGTGTCCAGGGAGTGCAGTGGAGGATGGCTCAAGTGCTTGGGCCCTGCACCCCATGGGAGACCAGGATAAGTATCTGGCTCCTGCCATCGGATCAGTGGGATGCGCCGGCTGCAGCGCTCCGGCCGCGGCGGCCATTGGAGGGTGAACCAACAGCAAAGGAAGACCTTTCTCTCTCTCTCTCTCACTGTCCACTCTGCCTGTCAAAAAAATAAAAATAAAAAATAAAAAAAATTAAAAAAAATATATATAGAGAGAAAGGTCTTCCTTCCATTGGTTCACTCTCCTAATGGCTGCTACAGCCAGTGCTGCGCTGATCCGAAGCCAGGAGCTGGGTACTTCCTCCCGCTCTCCCATGTGGGTGCAAGGACCCAAGCACTTGGGCCATCCTCCACTGCATTCCTGGGCCACAGCAGAAAGCTGGACTGGAAGAGGAGCAACCAGGAAAGAATCCAGCGCCCCAACCGGGACTAGAACCCAGGGTGCCAGCGCCGCAGGCAGAGGATTAGCCAAGTGAGCCATGGCGCCAGGCCCACATTACTCATTAGTCTTAGGCTTACATAATTTAAAGTCTCTCATTACATTGACTTCAAAACCCTCTGTGAAACCCACTGCAAATTCAAGAAATGACTTTTTATTTATAAAATGAAAGGTGAAATCTGAAAGATTTGATTTTTTTTGTAAAGATTTATTTATTTATTTGAAAGGCAGAGATACAGATAGCAGAAAGAAAGAGGTCTTTCATCTGCTGATTCATTTCTCAGATGGCCGCAACTGCTAGAGTTGGGCCGATCTGAAGTCAGGAGCCAGGAGCTTCTTCTGGGTCTCATACATGGGTGCAGGGACCCAAGCACTTGGGCCATCTTCTGCTGCTTTCCCACACCACAGCAGAGAGCTGGATTGAAGTGGAGCAGCCGGGACTCGAACAGGAGCCCATATGGAATGCTGACACTGCAGGCAGTAGCTTTACCTGCTGCATCACAGAGCTGGCCCTTTCAGTTTCTTTGAAGGGAAATTGAAGCATTAACAAGAATACAAGGAGAAGCAGGGCAAAATTACTTGAGTCACATTCCAGTAAGACTTCTTCTTTGTTTGTTTTTTTTTCGTATAAAGATATCATTTACTTCTTTGAGAGGTAGAGTTACAGAAAGAAGGAGGGAGGGACTGGCGCTGTGATACAGTGGGTAGAGTTGCCGCTTGCAGTGCTAGCATCTCATAAGGGCTCCGGTTCAGGTCTCGGCTGCTCCACTTCCAATCGGGCTCTCTGCTGTGACCTTGGAAAGTAGTGGAAGATGGCCCAAGTCCTTGGGCCCTTGCACCCACCTGGGAGATCAGGAGGAAGCTCCTGGCTCCTGGCTTCGAATCGGCAAAGCTCCAGCTGTTGTGGCCATGGGGGGAATGAATCAGTGGATGGAAGATATTTCTCTCTCTGCCTTTCCTTCTCTATGTAGCTCTATCAAATAAATAAATAAATGTTAAAAAAAAAAAAAAGAGGGGGAGCCAGGAGCGTCTTCTGCGTCTACCACGTAGGTGCAGGGACCCAAGGACCTGCGCCATCTTCTACTGCTTCCCCAGGCTGTAGCAGAGAGCTGGATCAGAATAGGTACAACCAGGATAGGAACTGGCGCCTATAGGGGATGCTGGTGCTGCAGGCGGAAGCTTAGCCTGCTACACCCCAGTGCCGGCCCAATTTTTCTTTTTAAAAAATTTTTATTTATTTGGAACAGTGACACACACAGAGAGAGTTTTCCATTTGCTGGTTCACTCCCCAAATGCCTGGACTAGGCCAAAACCAGGAGCCTACAACTCAATCCAGATTTCTCACAAAGGTGACAGAGACCTAGCTACCTGGGTCATACCCTGCTGCTTCCCAGTGGACATATTAGCAGGAAGCTGGAATCTGCAGCAGAGCCGAAACTTGAACCCAGGTGACATTTGAGCATCCCAAGCTGTGTTTTAACCACTACACCAAACATTTACCCTGAAAATGCTTATTTTAATTTGTTGCATTCCATTTTATTTAGTGATTTAGGGAAGGAAAAAATTCCAGTTACTTATATTAATAGTAGTAATACAGAGGTTCAGGGCCTTTGAACTGTTAACTCTGATTTTAGCAAACAGCACAGTTCCTTGCCTCACTGACTTCTGGGCTGGGATAACCTGAACAACACTTTCCTGTACAACCCTATTTGCCACATTTCATATCCTAGTTTCTAGTTTCACTGTTTCTTCTTACTGTTTACTAATCATCTTACTTATTTATCTGTCATCTGCCTCTCCCATTGGAACATAAACTCCATGAGGGCAAAATTTTTTAGCTCTTCTGTTCACTGTTACATCCTCAGTATCTAAAAGAGCATGTGGTGCATCGTAGAAATTCAGTATGTATTTTTTGGATGAAGGCAAGAAAAGCAACACAACTACCAAAAAAAACTTCCAAATGGTTTTTATTTAAAACTATCAATACAATATAAAAATAGTTTTAATTACATAGAACATGGAAATATAATTATGTGAAATTAAATTATTTCATACAGCTTGGTGTATAGGTTAAAGATTTAATAATAATTTACTACTATATTTTAAATATCCAAAATGTAAATCCATGTCATTAAAACTGTTTAGTGATGAACATTTTTCTCACCTTCCTTTCAACATTTTTTTAAAGATTTATTTATTTATTTGAGAGGTAGAGTTACAGAGAGAGAGAAAGACAGATAGAAAGGTCCTCCATCCGCTGGTTCACTCCCCAAATGGCCGCAATGGCCAGACCTGGGTTGATCTCAAGCCAGGAGCTTCTTCTGGGTCTCCCACGTGGGTACAGGGGCCCAAGCACTTGGGCCATCCTCTACTGCTTTCCCAGGCCACAACAGAGAGCTGGATCAGAAAAGCAGCAGCTAGGATACAAATCAGCGCCCATATGGGATACCAGTGCGGCAGGTGGAAGTTTAGCCCACTACTCCATAGCACCAACCCTTCTTTTCAACACTTCATACAGCTGATGTGATTTAGCTGATTCCTTGGTTTTCAACCAATTAGTATTATATTTTATAATAATAATACATGGTAGTAATATATATATTATATATGGTAGTAATATATATATTATATATACATATACCATGTAATATGTGCCAGGCATTTAGGGAGAACATAACAATAAACAATGTTGAAAATGGACAAACTTGAGCCGGCGCCGCAGCTCACTAGGCTAATCCTCCGCCTAGCGGCGCCGGCACACCGGGTTCTAGTCCCGGTCGGGGCGCCGGATTCTGTCCCGGTTGCCCCTCTTCCAGGCCAGCCCTCTGCTGTGGCCCGGGAGTGCAGTGGAGGATGGCCCAGGTGCTTGGGCCCTGCACCCCATGGGAGACCAGGAAAAGCACCTGGCTCCTGGCTCCTGCCATCGGATCAGCGCGGTGCGCTGGCCGCATCGCGCTGGCCGCGGCGGCCATTGGAGGGTGAACCAACGGCAAAAGGAAGACCTTTCTCTCTGTCTCTCTCTCTCTCACTGTCCAGTTCAGCCAGTCAGAAAAAAAAAAAAAAAAAAAAAAAAAAAAAAAATGGACAAACTTAATAAATTCATAGCTTTTCCCATTTGCATTAGAGACAAAAAAAAGCAGGCACTGCAAAATTACTAGCTTTCCAGGACACATCATCAGCAATAGTCCCTTATCACATATAGGAAGTATTTCTTAGGTACAGTTTCTGACATGATAAAAACAAGAATACCTAAAGAAAGCTGAGAGAGGGAGGAGAGAGGAAGAGAGATAAAGGGAAAGAGAAAGTAACAGGGTCTAAAATTAATTTTGGTGAATGAAAAAATATGGTACTAAGTGCTTCATATTTTTTTTTTTAATTTTTTTTTTGACAGGCAGAGTGGACAGTGAGAGAGAGAGACAGAGAGAAAGGTCTTCCTTTGCCGTTGGTTCACCCTCCAATGGCCGCTGCGGCCGGTGTGCTGCAGCCAGCGTGCTGCGGCCGGCGCACCGCGCCGATCCGATGGCAGGAGCCAGGTACTCATCCTGGTCTCCCAGGGGGTGCAGGGCCCAAGTACTTGGGCCATCCTCCACCGCACTCCCAGGCCACAGCAGAGAGCTGGCCTGGAAGAGGGGCTACCGGGACTATAGTCTTTCACATTAATAGTCTTTGGTGGAAGGGAACATTGCAGGATGCTAATACAATTCAACTTAAGAATGTTTCTTTGCTGAAGCATATTTATGGGGTATCTGTATTGTCATTTTGTTCCACTTTGTTTACTAAAGTAATATACAGGCATTTTATTGTCCAATAATCAGCTGGATCTACTTTTAAGTATGAATCTGAACATACTTGGGAAAATGAGCTTCTAAGTATACATATGATGTAGACTTCAGTGCCCATGTAAAGATAAAAAACAAGATAACGTTTGGTTTCATTTCTTAAAAATGCAATGTTTCCACAATACAGAAATTATAGTGCACAACTACAACACAAACAGCTTGCTTTTATTAATATCAGCCGTGTGTTGTGCATTTTTATCTGCTATTGAGCAGTGATCTTTTGATTCTTTGACACCAAGAAGCAGTTTAATAGATCAAAATTTTGCTAAATGAAAATTTTAAAGTCACCTAAGATAGAATCCCAAGTGTTAGTTCAGTCTGTCTGAAAGCCTGAGGTAATCAATATCTGCATTTATCAATAATTCCTAGTATTAGAACTAACTCCTGGCATTTTGAGGAGGCATAGCTGCAAATTTAAGGCATTTAATAATCACTTCCAAAGTTCCTTAATACACATATGTGTACACAGGCAATCCTAAAACAGTAGTTAAAAAGTCAATTATGTGACTCAGTGTTGTGCTCTTCAAAGGAGAATATTTCAAGCTCCTTTGTAGACAGCATTCCAAGAGCTAAGGTCTGAATGCCAAAATTAAAACTCACAAGCCATTAGTGGGACAAACACGTGTAGTTCGCATCTTTGATTCCTAGGTGAAAATCTCTTAACCTGAAGACAGAGGGATAACACATGTTCCTTCTAAGACTAAATGGCTCAAATGGTGCAAGAAGGTTTGCAGTTACTAATGACTCAGCTGGAGGGCTCACATTTGAGGTAGGGGAAACACAGACACTGATTTTAGATGTGCTGGTAGAACTTGTCTTCCAAAGCTTAAGTCCTGAAGAAACAAGCCAGTATTGGAAAGTCTTGGAGACAACTGAACCTCCAGAAAGATCCAGTGGGCAGCACCTGTTATGTTCTTTTCTATCAGTCTGCCAAAAGCTCACAAAGAAAATCCTCAGACCATTAGTTTCTTCTACTAAAGATCAAGGACTATTTTCCCTAAAGTGATCTCCATTTGGGAAAATCCAATACGTAGTGATCCCTATCCATAAGACAAATAATAGTATTTTACCAAAGAAGTCTCCATATGGTTTCATGAGCCAGTGTTTTTAACATGTTTTCATCTTTTAAAAAAATTACATACAATTTTCCTGAAATTCATAAATGAAGTATATGTATAAACCTGAATATATTTGAATAAAAAGAAAAACACTGAAAGTTTATGGACAGTTTAAAAAATATATCCTAGTGCTTATTGGAAAGAGTAAAGAGAACCAAATAAGTTAAAAAAAAAAGAAGTTTAATGTTTTATTCTTCCTCCCACAGAGAGGTATTACTGAAATACTTGAACTAATTAAAATATTTGATCTGACAAGGAATCTGTACTTGGACATTACAAATCTGGGTATCAATCAATAGGCAAGAAGGGGAAAAATATCACATTTTACTTCAGATTTTAAAACTTCAATGCAGTCATTTCATTTGTACATGAAACTCAGTTCAGAGAGGTACAAAGACTTGCTCAAAGTTATAGCATTAATTAGTTATAGAATCTGGCCACTTCCTTTCAATTTCATGATCCTTTCATCAGATATCAATATCCATTTTGAGAAAAATAAACAAAAAATTGGGTATTTTTCCAAAATAAACATTTCCTATATTACTTTTATATAAAACACTTCACATTATTTCAAATTAGTTAATAAATTAACATTATATACCCACATGGAAATAAGTTAATTATTCCTCTTCATATATTGATCAAGTATTTCCTCAAAAGTCTCATAACACTATATAAAAGATTTAAAAAATCAAATTCAACAGAATTTCATTTTAATATTTAACAATACTATGTTCAATATTGAACAGTGAAAATAAGCTAAACCTTCTCTATGTACTGATTTCAGCAATTCTGACACTAATGCTCCATGCATGTGTTGTTGTGCATCAAGAAAACACAGCTACAAGGTTAATCCAAAGAATAATTTAAAAGCCATTTCAACAGCAATTTCTGTGACTGAGTCATGAAAACAGACATACAGTTCTTGAGGTTTTGGATGAAGAAATAGTCTCCTGCCAAAGGAAAGAACACAATCAAAACACCAAAAGAATAAAGAAACAAAACACCATTTTTCATTTATATATTTTATTTCTGAAAGAATCTATAGTAAATTAAAAATATATCTAAATTGATTACTCAATCTAAATCTAAGGGAGAATAAAGCTGGATTTATTTCTAAAGACAGAATGTGTACAAGTATGCCTGGGTCAATTTTTATTTTTTTAATGTTATCTAAATTTTCCTTTATATGAAAGGCAGGGTGACACAGTGAGATCTACATGCTGGTTTATTCTTCAAGTACCTACAATGGCCAGGGTTAGGCCAGGCTAAAGCTAGGAGCCAGGAACTCCATCTGGATTTCCCACATGAGTGACAGGGACCCAATTACTTGAGCCACTACTTGCTGTCTTCCAATATGTACATTACCAAGAAGTTGCAATTGGAAGTTGAGCAGGGACCTGAAGTTAGTCACTCCAATATAGGATGCAGTCATCCCAAACTGTCTTTAATGGCTGCATCTAGCACCCGCCCCTAATTATTTTTACTTGAGAGCATAAAAAGTTGTATTTTATCAAGCTGCATCACCATACCCCTCAGTTTAAAAATATAAAATGTAATAATTATTATTACAATAGAATCAAAAGCATTTGTATCACGTTAAGCACAACAGTTATTAAACATTTTATTGCCCTTTAATTTATATTAAAGTATTATACAACACTTTTTACACATAGTAAAAACAGCAAATATTGAAAAATTTTTTTAAAGATTTATTTATTTATTTAAAAGTTGCAAATACAGAGGAGAGACTGAGAAAAAAAAAAAAAAGATTTTCCATCTGTTGGTTCACTCCCCAAACAGCCACAGTGGAAGCCAGGAACTTCATTTGGGTCTCTCATCTGGGCAGGAGGGACCCAAGGACTTGGACTATCTTCTGTTGCTTTCTCAGGCACATTAGCTTGGAGCTGGATTGGAAGTGGAAAAGCTGGGACTTGAAGTGGTGCCCATATGGGATGCCAGTATTGCAGGCAGCAGCTTTACCTGCGATAGCACAACGCTGGCCACTATTTGGTTTTCTTAAAGATAGTTCAATTTATATATATTAGTATTGATTAAATATATAAAGATACTATCTCAGTTGGAAGTAATTCTGCTTGACTTCCTTAAATTTCTATCTAGAGTGATGGGTACATAGATCTGCATCATCATAATTTGACATCTTGAGTCTAGTAGAAAGAATCTTGTGGATGTAGTTAAGGTTCTACTCACTGTACTCTTGAATATATGCATACCTGGTCTTTTTTATCTCTAGTCTCTCTTGTGGCTATACCACCCCATTGGCAGCTCCCAGCTTAATCTTCTAAAAGAACTGCTCTATTGATACTACAATGGAGTTAAGCTTATGCTGACTTTTCTAAGTCTGTTTGGTTACATGTTGTAATCACAGAGGAGCTTATTAAAAACAAAGATTCTCAGGGTTGGCACTGTGGTGTAGCAGCAGTTCTGGCATCCCATATGGGTGCCAGTTCAAGTTCCGGCTGCTCTACTTCAGATCAGCTCTCTGTTATGGCCTGGGAAAGCAGTGGAAGACAGCCCAAGTCCTTGACCCCTGCACCCTTGTGGGAGACCCAGAGGAAGCTCCTGGCTCCGGATCGGCACAGCTCTAGCCATTGCAGCTATCTGGGGAGTGATCTAGCAAATGGAAGACCTCTCCCTCTCTCTCTCTCAGCCTCCGCTGAGAGAGAAATGAAATCAATCTTATAAAATAAATAAATAAATATTTAAAAACAAAACAAAGTATGATTCTCATTCCCATGAATTGTGATTCTGTAAGTCCGGTAAGGGGCCTAGGCATCTCCAATTAAACAAGTCACTCAAAGGATTCTAGATTCCAAGGATTAGCACCTAGGAAATTACTGCTTTGGAGAACATTTGAAAAGTGTTTGGCATATAGCTAATATCTACATGGCATGTGTCCAGTAAGCTTAGTCCTACCTAACACTGTGCTCTTTTCCTCCACCAGCTCTGTACTGTAATTGAAACAACCTTCTATGGCTCAACATGTATTTCTCCCCTAAATTAAATTTCTTAGTCAGAAATTAAAGGCTCCCTACAATGGTCTTAACTTAGCTTTCCAACTTAATCTTTCATCTTATCTTGGTGTATGTCACTCCCATTACACTCACACCTCTGCCACCACCACTACCACATCTTGTCTAACACAGCTCCATTTACTGAACCATCACATATTTATCTAGTGACTATTATGTGTCAGGTGCTGCTGTAGGTGTTGGTGGACAAGACCAATACAATTCCTGACCTCGTGAAACTGACGTTTTAGTGAGGATGGAAGACAATAAGCAAAAAAGAAAATGACCAATAAAGGGACAATATAGAGAATAAGCGTGTAGCTACTTTACTGGGGGGTGAGGGAAAGATCATGAATCCTCCCTGAAGAGAAGACCTGCTTGCAGCACTCTGGATATCAAGGAGCCAGATATGCAAAAGCATGGAGCACTCATGTAGAAGAAGTAGCAGAAAGAAGGTTGGATCAGGGCTGGTGAAGCTGCTGCACAGTGGATGGAGGAGGAGAGTGATGGGAAATGGAAACAGAGTTGGGCAAGGGCCAGATGTGGCTAGGTCTTATGGGGGGACAAAAGAGAGAAAGGAAAGAAAAAGAGAAGAGAGGAAGAAAAGAGGGAGGGGGAGAGAGGGAAGAGGGAAGAAGGAAAGAAATTGGAGAACAATTGTAGAATTATTCTCTTAGTGCATTACTCATATAATTTTGTAAGATAACACAACAATATTTTTAATAGAAAAAGAGTTGGAAAGGACTTAAAGAAAATATTCAGGCAATAAAATTCTAAAATAAAATAAAGCTAGATTAATAACACCCTGCCTATATTTTTAAAACATTAATCTCCTTTACCACTTTTCTAACATTGTGCTTTATTTTCAAATATTTATTTTCTCACTTACCCTACTACCCAGTAAGACATAACTGGTGGTGCTTTCTTCTGATCAGTCCAGTTTTCAGGTGAGCATTCAAACAACACACCATGTTCTTTCACAGGGTTAAGAGAAGACACTGAATGTGTAGAAGCTGAAGGATCTCCATCATCTAGTGATTTCTTTTTCTGCAAATTAATAGTTATTATTTGTATTAACTGGTATTAATAGTGCCACATAAAATTTTTTCAAAATTAATTTTATTTGAAAGGTAGAGAGACAGAGAAATAGAGATCATTCATCTGCTGGTTCACTCCTAAAATACCTGCAACAGCCCAGGCTGGGCCAGCCTGAAGCTGGGAGCTGGGGACTCAATCCGGGTCCCTCATGAGGCCGGCGAAAGCCCAAGAATTTGAGCCATCATCTGCTGCCCGCAAGGATGTGTATTAGTAAGAAAGCTGGATCAGAAGTGCTGCTGGGGCTTGAACCCAGTAACTCCAATATGGGAGGGATGACTACTATGCCAATGCCCACTCTAAAAACTCCAAAAATGTTTTCACAAATGGATTTGAATCGACTGATCCTAGAAGTTAAGTGCCTGCAATGGCATTCTTATCTTGGATTGAAAGCAAGCAGGCAACTAATCAACAAGTGCTAAAACATCTGCAATAGTGTTGTGCCTACAGGTCTACCTTTATCCACGATGTTCCAAAATACCTTATATTGTTAACTGAAAACTAAAAATTATCAGTTATCTGAGGAACCAACTGGTGGATATTACTGACCAAGTAATGGTTAAGTCACAGATATCAACCATGGGAAGTTAATTTTATATTACCAACTACTATGTTTTACTTTGTTACAAAAAACAGAGGCCCACCATTACTGAAATAGTAATCTTGTACATCAATTCAGTATTATAAAATTAAGTATTGTGAGAATAATCCTACGCTGACTGCAAAAAAAATTACATGAAAATATTGCTGATATAATGAAAAATGGAGAGTAGAGAGAAGCTTTAGAGATCTGGAAATGAAACTGGCAGAAAGCTTATAGTAGTGCCCTACCTCTTTCTCCAATGTCTGTTGGAAAATTGCACGAATGGAAAGACAACACTGATGGAAATTTTTTATTAGCTGAGGATGGATAGAACCACTTAGTTGTGCCACCTCTTCATGGGTAGGAGTAATAAAGATTCCTTGCACCGTTTCTAAGGCAACATAGTGGAAAAGTGTATTCTCAGGACCAGATGTCAATCTTGAAAAGAAAAAAAAGAGAGAAGGAAAATAAAAATACTAATTTAAAAATATTGCTTCCATTTGAATTTTTGGGATTCCTTATAAGAATTTATCTATATTACTAATAAAATTAGGGAGGAAAAACTGGGCCAAACATTTAGTTCTCTCTTCATCTTTAACTTAAATACAGGCTAGGGTTATTAATGGAGGCAAATACTAGATGTTATACAAGGATAAATAAACACCAATTCATTTGCAAGTAACTTAATCATCCCTTTGCTAAACAACCCAGTTGGCTAAACCTCCCTTTTTCCATGGTTGGCAATGAGTAACTCAGCTCAAGTCTGGCCTAGATAGCTACAAGCTATAAACAAGTCTCATTCTAAGGTGGATCACATATAAAAATGCCTTCCAGTAAACTCAACACATTTAAATTAGCAGCAGTAAAGTCTTTACCACCATAGTCAACCTGATGTTCTCAAGGAAAAGCAAAATTAATACCAATTGCAAAGCTGGATTAACATTTTGTAATAGCAGGGCAATTACTAGTAGCATTCTACCACTGCTCATCACCACAATCTTTCTTCTCTTATATATTCTATTATTATTCTCATTTTTCCTTTCTTCTTCACCTCTCCCCTGCTAGTTTCAGGGAAGCCAGCAGAACCTATAAATAATACTTGCTTCAGCCAGTTATAAGAAGAGCTAAAGAACAGCAATAAAAACAGCAACTACAAAAAGGTATCTTACACTGTAACAGGTATCTTACACTGAATGCCCTTTGTGTGCCAGGGTATGTCTTTATGTTTTTTTTTTTTTTTCTTTTTAAGATTTATTTATTTATTTGAAAGTCAGAGTTACACAGAGAGAGAAGGAGAGGCAGAAAAAGAGAGAGGTCTTCAATCCTCTGATCCACTCCCCATTGGCCTTAACGGCCAGAGCTGTGCCAATCTGAAGCCAGGAGCCAGAAGCTTCCTCTGGGTCTCCCATGCAAGTGCAAGGGCCCAAGGACTTGGGCCATCTTCTACTGCTTTCCCAGGCCACAGCAGAGAGCTTGATTGGAAGTGGAGCATCCGGGACTTGAACTGGTGCCCATATGGGATGCCAGCACTGGAGGCGGCAGCTTTATGTGCCATGCCACAGCGCCGGCCCCAGGGTATGTCTTTAAAATACCTTCATTTTAATTGTCATAAAAGCCTTCAAGACAATAAACATTACTATCCTCACTTTAACCATGAGGAAATCAATGTTCAGAGGACTGAGATTAACTTGAGGTCACATAATCAATTGCAGTTTACTTGACTGTGAAGTTGTTGTACTATACCTCGCTTTTTCTTTTCCATACTGACTTCTGATTGCTTAAATAGATGGATAGCATGTCCCCACTTGCATCTCAAATACTCACATGACCCCTTTGTAATCCTTCTATGATAAAAGCTATCTACACTTCAAACACTTTTTTCCCCATCCATAGCACAAAGGTAAGGGAAAGGCATATTTCAGCTCATAGCCTAGATATGGCTTAGTCATCCATCCCAGTTAAAATCTTGCTAAACTGTTAATTAGGCCACATGATCTATATAAACTTCTATCACTGAAGAAGGTCATCTACAGATTTGTCTGATATTTTTCCATAGGGTAGCCTGCACATTAATAACTGGTAGCAAATATCTTTAAGAAACAAAAACAGGAGCCAGTGTTGTGGTGCAGTGAGTTCAGCTGCCACCTATGTGAGCTGCAGTTTGAGTCCTGGTTATTCCACTGCTGATCCAGCTCCCTGCTAATAAGCCTGAGAAAGCAGCAGAAGATGGTCCAAGTGCTTGAGCCCTGACACCTATGTGGGAGACCTGAATAGAGAGCCAGGATCTTGGCTTTGGCCTAGCCCAGTGTTGGCCATTGTAGTCATTTGGAGAGTGAACCAGTGGATAGAAGCTCGCTCGCTCGCTCTCTCTCTCTCTGTATGTATTTGTGTGTCTTCCTCTCTCTCTATAAGACTGCGTTTCAAATAAATAAATAAATCTTAACATCACCAACAAAAAAGAAAGAAAAGAATCAAGAAGAAAAGAATTACAATTCAAAAGGAAAATCATGTAAAATGAATATTTTACCTCAGACATCTTCAAATTCAAGATAAGTTACAGAATAGAAATTCTTCTTAAAAATAACTATTAGGGCCGGCGCCATGGCTCACTAGGCTAATCCTCCGCCTTGTGGCGCCGGCACACCGGGTTCTAGTCCCGGTCAGGGTGCCAGATTCTGTCCCGGCTGCCCCTCTTCCAGGCCAGCTCTCTGCTGTGGCCCAGAAGTACAATGGAGGATGGCCCGAGTACTTGGGCCCTGCACCCCACGGGAGACCAGGTTAAGTACCTGGCTCCTGCCATTGGATCAGCGCGATGCGCCGGCCACAGCGTGCCGGCCGCAGCGGCCATTGGAGGGTGAACCAACGGCAAAGGAAGACCTTTCTCTCTGTCTCTCTCTCTCTCACTGTGCACTCTGCCTGTCAAAAAAAATTAAAAAATAAAATAAATAAAATAAAAACTATTAGGCCGGTACCGCAGCTCATTTGGCTAATCCTCCACCTGTGGTGCCGGCACCCCAGGTTCTAGTCCCGGTTGGGGCACCGGATTCTGTCCTGGTTGCTCCTCTTCCAGTCCAGCTCTCTGCTGTGACCCGGGAAGGCAGTGGAGGATGGCCCAAGTGCTTGAGCCCTGCACCCTCATGGGAGACCAGGAGGAAGCACCTGGCCCCTGGTTTCGGATCGGCGCAGCGCGCCAGCGGCAACACACCAGCCATAGTGGCCACTTGGGGGGGGGTGAACCAACAGAAAGAGGAAGACTTTTCTCTCTGTGTCTCTCTCTCACTGTCTAACTCTGCCTGTCCAAAAAAAATAATAATAATAATAACTATTAATCAGATTCGTTTCAGAGAGGCTAGAATGAACCTTTTTGTTATTTTAAAAAAACTTTCAAAAATAAACAACAACACAATACGCAAGATTAGCTCTCGAAAATGAAAAGCTTGTTCAGTATATATTAATTGAAAGTTTTAAAATCACCAAACAAGCAACTACCCAATAGAAAGACAAAAGATTTGTATTAAAAAAGAGAGAGAGAGAGAGAGAGAGAAAGTCAGAGATTTGTTCTTCAGGAAGGTTAACTCCTGTGGTAGAGAATGGATTCAAGGTAAGCTGGGAGTTGGGAGGTTAATACAATAAAAATCAAGTCAGAGTAAAGGTCAACCGGAATGAGGGAGTAGCAACAGGGGCTGAATGGATTCAAAAACTACTAGAATGCAGAATGGATAGGAACTGATTACTGAATGAAATGTTTTGTTTTATTTTAAACATTTTTTCAAGATATTTATTTATCTATTTGAAAGGCAGAGTTACAGAAAGAGAGTGAGAGACAGAGAGAGAGAGAGATCTTCCATCTGCTGGTTCAGTTCCCAGATGGCTGATAAAGAATTAACCTCCAGAATCTACAAAGAGCTCAAGAAATTCAACAAGGGGCTGGCACTGTGGTGCAGCGGGTTAACGCCCTGGCCTGAAGCGCCGGCATCCCATATGGGCACTGGCTCTAGTCCCGGCTGCTCCACTTCCAATCCAGCTCTCTGCTATGGCCTGGGAAAGCAGCAGAAGATGGCCCTAGCCCTGGGCCTTCTGCACCCAGAAGAAGCTCCTGGCTCCTGGCTCCTGGCTTCGGATCCGCGCAGCTCCAGCCATTGTGGCCAATTGGGGAGTGAACCAATGGATGGAAGACTTCTCTTTCTCTCTGCCTCTCCACTCTGTGTAACTCTGACTTTCAAATAAATAAATAAATCTTAAAAAAAAAAAAAAAGAAATTCAACAACAAGAAAACAAACAATCCAATTAAGAAATGGGAAAAGGACTTGAACAGGCATTTTTCAAGAGAGGAAATTCAAATGGCCAACAGACACTTGAAAAAATGCTCAGGATCACTAGCCATCAAGGAAATTCAAATCAAAACCACAATGAGGTTTCTCCACACCCCAGTTAGAATGGCTTTCATACAGAAATCAACAAACAACAATTACTAGCAATGATATGGGGGAAAAAGTACCTTAATCCACTGTTGGTGATAATGTAAACTGATGTACCCACTGTGAAAGACAGTATGGAGTATGGAGATACCTCAGAAATCTTAATATAGACCTACCATATGATCCAGCCATCCCACTCCTGGGAATTTATCCAAACAAAAAGAAATCAGCCTATGAAAGAATTATCTGTACCCTCCCAAGTTCATTGCAGGTCAATTCACAATAGCTAAAATATGGAATCAACCCAGATGTCCATCAGTTAAAGACTAGATAAAGAAATTATGGTATATATTCACTACAGAGCAGTACTAAGCTATAAAGAAACAAAAAATGAAATCCTGTCTTTTACAACAAATGGATGCACTGGAAACCTTTATACTTAATGAAATAAGGCAGTCCCTAAAAAACAGTTAACATAGTTTTCTCTGATCATGGGTAACTAATAAAAGTAACTAAAATGTAATGTACTGGAGTGAAATGAACATTTTGAGATTTGATGATCACTCACAGCCCTTGTCTCTTCTGTCGAAGAACAGCGTTTTTTTTTTTTTTTTTTCCTTCATATTGTTTGTTGAACTCTTCACTTAGTGTAGGGTTAAGCTTATGAATAATTAGTATCCTTAAAAATAGATCTTTGTAAAAATTAAGAGTGGGAATAGAACAGGGAGGAAGAAGGGTTGGAATGTAGATGGGAGGGAAGGTACGGTGGGAAGTATCACTATATTCCTGAATCTGTACATGTAAATACATGAAACTTATATAACTTAAATAAAAATTTTTAAAAAGCTCAGGGAAAATGAAAAGATAAATTTATTTTGGTACAACCAGTTTTAGAAATCACATACATAAGGGGTCACCAAACAGTTCATGGAAAATGCATGTTAAAAAACTATGTGATGATTTCAAAACCTTTCTGCACCAAAATAAACTTTTTTTTTTTTAATTTGACAGGTATTGTTATAGACAGTGAGAGACAGAGACAGAGAGAAAGGTCTTCCCTCTGTTGGTTCACTCCACAAATGGCTGCCACAGCCGACACTGCGCCAATCCAAAGCCAGGAGCCAGGTGCTTCTTCCTGGTCTCCCATGCGGGTGCAGGGGCCCAAGCACTTGGGCCATCCTCCACTGCCCTCCTGGGCCACAGCAGAGAACTAGACTGGAAGAGGAGCAACCGGGACTAGAACCCGGTGCCCATATGGAATGCCGGTGCCACAGGTGGAGGATTAACCAAGTGAGCCACGGAGCTAGCCCCTAAACTTATGTTTTAATTCCATTTTTCCATGAACTTTTTGAAATACCTTTATATGTTATAGATTATACTTTTTTACTGTAAAACTTCCTTAAAGACAGAGAGATTAAATGAGGAAGAATATTATAATGAAGTTTCTTACTTCATTGTGTTATATATTTCCAATTCCTTTTCTGAAAGATCCTTTTTCAAGTTTCCCAAATGAAATGGATTTGGAAGAGCAGACTTCTTCTTAGTGACCTGAAAAATACAGTTAAGTAGATTATAGCTAAGAATGGGATATAACAGCAGAAAGAATTTAAAAATTAAAATCCTTCTAAGAGAACAATTTTCTAGTTTGCAGTGCTTCCTTTAAATATTTTCAATGGTACCTCTCACCTCCTGGCTTATCCTTAGCTAACAGGGATCCAGGGCCATGTCACGGCAAGGCACCATTTACTCTGAAAACCTCATACTTGCACCAAGGTGTCACCATTACCAGGTTCACACATGGGCGTACCTGTTTCCATCCCTAGACTCTCTGCGCTCCTCAACATCAGGGGCTATGTCTTATTCATCTTTGTATCTTCTTTGTGCACCATAGCCCCTGGCATTTGGTAGGTGTTCGGTCAACATCTGTTGAATGGGTGACTCTTTAATTTAATTCAGTTTCTCTTAGGAGCTGTTTGTGGCTTTGTTACCCAGTTTCAGTGGGTACAGTACTGATATGAGTACTTCCTAAAAACATTCCACTTACAGCTCTAGGAGTGTTTGAAATTAGGAGACTGAATCTATGGTTATTCATACCAGGCCACTCAGAATCTTGTATTTTATTTGTGCCTCTTCTCAGATTCCTCCTCCTTCTTCATGCCTTGTTAGCTATCCCCTCCATCTACCCAAATGACAAGTTTCAAAAATGTTTTAAAAGACAACAGCATCTGTAACATAAGTAAAAATCTTAAATGGATGATTATTTTGACAGCAATTTAGATATTCCATGGTATTTTCATTGGAAAAATCAAGAAAACTAAGTAATAAACTAGCTGAAAAATGAACATCTTTGAAATGTGGTTCAGTCACATTCAGTCCTCGAGGATGGAGGACTACACACACATTCTCCTTCTCAAAGTTCTGACTCTTTGTTTCTCTTGAACATTCTACCAGCTGTTTACTCAGATCATCCCCGCATATACGCCATGGCTAGAATGTTCTCTGTTATCAGTGTGAACAGAGAAGAAAGAAATGAACATGGAAAGCAGAATTAAAGAGTTTCCCAACTTTTAAGTACTGTTAAATGAATATCCCGGATGTCAAGAGGCTCCTGTCTCGCTTTCTTCTCTTTCTGGTTCTAAATCAGTGGTTTGCCATCAGGGACTAAAAACACCACCATTTCAAATGAGGAACAAGCTGCTATTAAAAAAAATCCTCTTGTAATCACAAAATACGGACTGGACAGACAGCGCAGCTCCTAGGATATACACACTTGAACACAGACCTTCAGGAAGGACCCGCTTTCTTCTGAACCATCAGTGCCCTGGGACTCTCTTTGCTTCCGTACTGCATCCGGGGTGGTGTGAGGGCTAATGCCAATAACGCCTTCTCCACCTTCGCAACCATTGTCAGATCCTCCACTGCTCCGGGAAGGACTCGGCTTACATGTCTTTAAGGAATAGTCACTAAAAAGGGATCTTCTGCACGTTGGGGAGGTTGCTACTTTGGAAGCCACTTGTAGCCTACTGAGGATAGGTGACGTGGTCAAAGTATCTGCTTTTTCACGGGATCCCGCAAGGAACCAGTCAGCACAAGACAAACAGGGGCCTGAAGGAGATATGAGATGTTCATCGATGCGGGAATCTACTCCTTCCAGCTGCTGAAGGGTTGTTTTGACCTGATCCACATATATACAGTCCGGTCCAGGATTCCCAATAGCTTTGGATGCACAGCCTCCTGCTTCTAATAGTACACATAACATATAATATTTCTATAGGAAAAAAATTATTAATATGTATTATGTTACCATGAAAATATTTATATGTAATAGATATATAAAAACTTAGAAATACTGAAGACATACAAACCCATGGTATAATCAAGTGATAACTGTTAAAAATTTCTCTCCAGAGGCCGGCGCCATGGCTCACTTGGTCAATCCTCCACCTGCAGCGCCGGCATCCCATGGGCACCGGGTCCTAGTCCCGCTTCCTCCTCTTCCAGTCCAGCTCTCTGCTGTGGCCCGGGAGGGCAGTGGAGGGTGGCCCAAGTGCTTGGGCCCTGCACCCGCATGGGAGACCAGGAAGAAGCACCTGGCTCCTGGCTTTGGATTGGCGCAGTGCCGGCTGTAGCAGCCATTTGGGGAGTGAACCAATGGAAGGAAGACCCTTCTTTCTGTCTCTCTTTCTCTCACTGTCTATAACTCTACCTATCAAATAATAAAAAATAAAAAAATAAAAAAAATTCTCTCCTGCTTCCCTTCCTTGTTAATATCTGCATTTTTTTATTATCAATATTTTTGATTCTAGTTTAAAACAATCTCAGATTGCTTCCTTGTGATATACCAGTAACCTCTGTTGACACATGGAATTCCCTAAGACGGCTTTCAAACAGCCTCAATTATTGGGAAGTCCTTTCATTTACAATTACGTATTTATACTTTTTCTGATTCTATATTATTTTTATGTCCCCTTCTATTTCCCAAAACAAGCTAAAAAATAATATCATATAGAAAGAGGAACAAAAGATCTTAAGAACCTGCTAAAATCTTTTCCTAATTTTATTAATTATTTATTTATCTGTGAGCACTAACTTGATGGAAAAGAAAGGAAAAATAAACAGCACATAACATTTTCTAGAATATTGGTATTTGACATGCACATGATATTAAGGGACCATGTTTGTTTTTGTATTTACTTTAGACCATCAATAAAAGGCAAAAAACAAAACAAAACAAAACAACTTACAAGAAAGAAACCCAAGTAAACTTACCAAGCCAATAATTAGCAAAAAATATCTCCCTTCAGGTTCCTGAAAGACTTCAGTGTCTGGGTCTGCAGATGCGTGCAGGTGATATTGAGGAAACACTTCTCTCCATATTATCAACTGACCAATTCTCTGTTTTGCTGCTAAAGGCAGCAGGCAATAGTGGCGACAATATGCAGCAATATCAATAAGATCATCCTTAGGCAAATGACTGCATATCAGATAACCCTTGAATTCAACCACAAAGAGCACAAGTCAACAGATGATACACAGCAATTATCCCATGATTGGCTTAAAATATTCATTTCAAATGGAGTAGGGATATAGCAAAAATAAATACTTTTCCCCCTTAGATTAACCAGAGATTAAATAACTTAATGGACCCAGCAAGCAGATATTAGTGCAAAGCAAGATCACCTCTATGCAGCATACACCCAAATGTTTCACAAAGCTAGAAAGAACTGAGTTCTGAGGATGGGAAGTGGAGAACCAGTGTCAGGGATGGAGAGACTTTTCACTGCATACCCTTCTGTATTATCTTTTTCTGTTAGATATGTGTTGTATTTGTTTAAAGACAGTTTTTAGAAAATGAAAATACTGGCCGGCGCTGCGGCTCACTAGGCTAATCCTCCGCCTTGCGGCGCCGGCACACCGGGTTCTAGTCCCGGTCGGGGCGCCGGATTCTGTCCCGGTTGCCCCTCTTCCAGGCCAGCTCTCTGCTGTGGCCAGGGAGTGAAGTGGAGGATGGCCCAGGTACTTGGGCCCTGCACCCCATGGGAGACCAGGAGAAGCACCTGGCTCCTGCCATCAGAGCAGCGCGGTGCGCCGGCCATTGGAGGGTTAACCAACGGCAAAGGAAGACCTTTCTCTCTGTCTCTCTCTCTCTCTCACTGTCCACTCTGCCTGTCAAAAAAAAAAAAAAAATGAAAATGAAAATACTTAAATGTATTTGATGCTTTATTTCTTTCATATGGAAGTCAACTACTTAATGTTATAAAATTTGCTTAAAAGATACATAACTACTTCTGAAGAGGGGATAAAAAAACATTATTACAAGAGGGAATTAAGAAACTACTGTTTGGGGCCTGTGCTGTGGCACAGTGGGTTAAATAGCTACATGCAGTGCTAGCAACTCATATGGGTGCCACTTCAAGTCCCACCTGCTCTGCTTCCAATCTAGCTCCCTGCTAATGTGCCTAGGAAGGCCCTAGAAGATGGCCCAAGTGCTTGTGCCCCTGCTACTCTTGTGGGAGACCTGGAAGAAGCTCCTGGCTCTAGCCTGGCCCAGCCCCAGATGTTGTGGCCATCTGGACAATGAACCAGCGGATGGAAGATCTTTCTGTCTCTCTTTCTCTAGAACACTGCCTTTCCAATTAAAAAGAAAAAACCTTAAAAGAAATGAGTATCATTCTTATCATGTTTGGTTCTGTGAATACTGTTTCTCTTTTATACATTTACAAATGCTTACAATGCAATGAAACCATATATATTTATTATATTTCAAAATATGCAGGTATAAGTCTTGCTTTATGATATTAATTTTACGGTACCTTCATTCAGAAGGAAAAATATTAATGTACTTCTTATGTTTGTAAAAGTTTGAGAAAATTCACCTAGGTCTGTTTATATAGCAGTTGGACATTTATAAACATTTCAAGCTTTGACATACCTTGTAAAATAGAGAAGATCCCAAAATTGTGTACAGCCTCCTCATGTCATAGTAATCCTCAGACTGGGGGAAAAAAATCCACAGTGTATTTTGTGATTAGCAAAAATCCTAGTTAGCTACAATAATTAAAATAGAAATTATATTTTTTTAGTAACAGAACTTTTCATAGTGACTTCATTAGAAATCAATATGTTATTGTATTAGGGAAAAGTATAATATGAAGACATTTCACTGAGAACTACATTTTTGGTTCTTATAACACTGGTGATAATAGATATTTTAGACAGAACATATAAAGTTATTACTACATGAAGGATTTTTAAAAAAATAAATTTGTTAAGGTAAAAACTTATTATACATCAACTAAAATACCCAATACTACATAAACTGCTTTTGAAAGTGGAAACTAGTACAATCTATTTGTGTGAATTTTCAGTGTATGCTAAAAAACAAAACAAAACAAAACCAAAAAACCTCAAAACATATATCCTGTGCCTAATTCCTGTTCTAGAAGTTTACAGAAATAAACAAGAGAATCAAGACTTTTTATATAAAAGTTAATAGAATTGCTTGTCCTGTGAAACAAATTAAAGATAACATAAATTTCCACAATGGGAGAATGATCAACTGAATTAGACTAATATATTTTATTTTTTAAGATTTATTTATTTATTTGAAATTCAGAGCTATATGGAGAGAGGAGAGGGAGGGAGAGAGGGAGAGAGAGAGACAGAGGTCTTCCATCCGATGGTTCACTCCTCAATTGGCTGCAACGGCTGGAGCTGCGCTGATCTGAAGCCAGGAGCCAGGAGCCAGGAGCTTCTTCTGGGTTTCTCACATGTGTGCAGGGTCCCAAGGACTTGGGCCATCTTCTACTGCTTTTCCCAGGCCATAGCTAAGAGCTGAATGGGAAGTGGAGCAGCCGGGACTCAAACTAGCGCCCATTAGGGAATGTCGGCACTGAGGGTGGCAGCTTTACCCACTATGCCACAACACCAGCCCCTAGTCTAATATATTTTACCACAGAACATCACAGAACACCATACAGATGTTTTAAAAATTAAGGCTGATCCAGCCGGCAACGCGGCTCACTAGGCTAATCCTCCGCCTAGCGGTGCCGGCACACCGGGTTCTAGTCCCGGTTGGGGCACCGGATTCTGTCCCAGTTGCCCCTCTTCCAGGCCAGCTCTCTGCTGTGGCCAGGGAGTGCAGTGGAGGATGGCCCAGGTGCTTGGGCCCTGCACCCCATGGGAGACCAGGAAAAGCACCTGGCTCCTGGCTCCTGCCATCGGATCAGCGCGGTGCGCCGGCGGCAGCGCGCCGGCCGTGGCGGCCATTGGAGGGTGAACCACCGGCAAAGGAAGACCTTTCTCTCTGTCTCTCTCTCTCACTGTCCACTCTGCCTGTCAAAAAATTAAAAAAAAAAAAGGCTGATCCATATGAGCAGGCATAAATATTTTTAGGATACATTGTACAGCAATATATGTTTTGTTAAACATAGCAGCCCTATATACAACTATAAACTTGTGCAAATATGTGTTGAGAATTTATGTATACAACGGCACTTCAGAATATTAATGGAAAATAGAATTAAAAGATAAATTTAGGGAGGGTGTTTTGTTTAATAGTTAAGCACCTGTTAGGATGCCCGTGTCTTATATTAGAGAGCCTGAGGTCAACTCCCAGTTCTGGATCCTGATTCCAGCTTCCTGCTAATGCAGACCCTTGGTGATAGCAATGAAGACTCAAGTCATTGGGTTCCTGCCACCCATGTGGCTTAAGTTCCTGACTCCCAGCTTTGACTGCCTGGACACTGTGGGCATTCGGGGATTGAATCAGTTGACAGACATGCTCTCTCTGTATCTCAAATAAATTTTTTTTTTTTAAATGAGGGTGGGGAGAGGCAGAACACCAGTATCCCAAATCAGAGTGCGAGTCTGAGTCTCAATTGCCATGCTTCTAATCTATCTTTCTGCTAAGATACCCGGAAAGGTAGCAGAAGATTGCCTAAGTACTCCCACATGGGTGGGAGGCCAGGATGGAATTCCTGACTCCTGGCTTCAGCCTGGCCCAGATCTGGCTATTAGTAGTCATTTGGGGAGTGAAACAGAGAATGAAAGATCTCTGTATTTCTCCCTCTCTCTTTGTTGATCTGCTGTTCAAATAAATAAAACATTTTTAGAAAGAGATGTTTAGTTTGGTGTAAAAAGCTGAAATCCATGCATATAAGAGGTCTTCAAAAAGCTCAAGAAAAATGTTATTATGAAAAAACTGTACATGGACATCAAAATGGGCACTAAAATGAACTTACCTTTGAATTCCATTTTCCATAAACTTTTTAAGTACTCTCTTATAGGAAAAGGTCCAGAGGATACATTCAAACTATATAAGCAGTTACACCTGGAGATGGAAGTGGAAGAGAGGGACGAGGGAGGACATTTGCTTTCAATAACCATGCTTGCATCTGCATACAATGTGCACGTATTACTTTTAAAATTAAGGGGCAGGCATTTGGCTCAGTGGTTAAGACACTGCTTGAGACGCTCATGTCCCAAATTAGTGACCATGGGTTCAAGTCCCAGCTCTGCTTCCAATTCCAGCTTCCTGATAATGCATATCCTAGGAGGCAGCAGGTAAGGGCTGAAGTACTTGGATCCTTCCCACCCTCATGCGAAACAGAGATGGAGTTCATTCCTCTTGGCTTTGTGGGCATTTGGGGAGTAAACGAGTATAAGAGATCTCTGCCTGTATGTGTCTCTCTGACTTTCAAATAAGATGAAAATATAAAAAAAATTTAAGAATATATAAAAATTTGGCTGGCACCGCGGCTCACTAGGCTAATCCTCCGCCTGTGGCGCCAGCACCCCGGGTTCTAGTCCCAGTTGGGGCACCGGATTCTGTCCCGGTTGCTCCTCTTCCAGTCTAGCTCTGCTGTGGCCCGGGAGGGCAATGGAGGATGGCCCAAGTGCTTGGGCCCTGCACCCGCATGGGAGACCAGGAGGAAGCACCTGGCTCCTGGCTTCGGATGGGCGCAGCGCGCCGGCCGTGGCAGCCATTTGGGGGGTGAACCAACGGAAGGAAGACCTTTCTCTCTGTCTCTCTAACTCTGCCTGTCAAAAAAAAAAATATATATATATATATATATAAATTTAAAAAAGAAACCTAGAGAAAATGAAAAACTGTAAATGTATTGAGGAATTAAGATAAATCTACATAATGGAATACCATTCAGCAATAAAAAGGATTAAACTGCTGATATATAAATGATTCTCAAATCCATTATGCTAAGTGAAAGAAGTAGGACACAAAAAATTACCTACTGTATAATTCAACTTATGACATTATGGAAAAGGTACAATCATGAGGACAGAAAAGAGATCAGCAGTTGCCAGAGACTGGAGTTAGGGAGAGAGACAGACTATTTTTAAAAAAGAATTTGCTGAGTACAAATTATGTTAATCATAATATTTAATAGCTTAAAGAAAAAGAAGACAAAGTTAGGATATAAGATTAAATCTTAAATCTGGTTTCACATCCTATTTAGAATAGATCTTTATTTTCATTAAGGTAAAATTCACTATGAAATGTTCTGTGAGTTTTGACAAATGCATTCAGGTTTGTAAAGGTCACCAAAATCATTGGGATGTAGACTAGTTCCATCAACATTTCTCTTTACCTAGTTTTTTTTTTCCCCTCTGAATAGTTTCCCATTGCCTGTATTTACCACAATTTTTAGGTTTACCTATTGGTGGCAGACATTTGAGTTATCTGAGTTTTCTTTCTGTTTTTGGTTATTACACATAAAGCTGTATGAACAGTTATATCCAGGTTTTCTATTACATATGCTTTAATTTCCCTTTGGCAAAAAAGACTAAATGGTAGAACCATATAGTAGGTGTATGTTTAGGCTATTAAGAAACTTCCAGACTGTTTTTCCTATGGTAAAACATCAGCTGCACCACTTCCCATTCTCCATTTACCATTTTTTTCATAATTGTGCTTTTGATATTTGCTTTCAATAACCATCTAAGGAATATTAATAGATATTTTTCTAGCTATACAAAATATTTTTAGCTCCATTGCTCATTAAAACAATGCTCTATAAAGACAAGGAATAGATTTCTAATTAAACCTATTGGGTTGGCTGGCGCCGTGGCTCAATAGGCTAATCCTCTGCCTTGCGGCGCCGGCACACCGGGTTCTAGTCCCGGTCGGGGCGCCGGATTCTGTCCCGGTTGCCCCTCTTCCAGGCCAGCTCTCTGCTGTGGCCAGGGAGTGCAGTGGAGGATGGCCCGAGTACTTGGGCCCTGCACCCCATGGGAGACCAGGATCAGTACCTGGCTCCTGCCATCAGATCAGCACGGTGCGCCAGCCGCGGCGGCCACTGGAGGGTGAACCAAGGCAAAAGGAAGACCTTTCTCTCTGTGTCTCTCTCTCATTGTCCATTCTGCCTGTCAAGAAAAATTAAAATTAAAAAAAAATTTTTTAAAAAATTAAAAAAAAAAAGCTATTGTGTACAAGTTCTGAAACTCCAGATATTTTAATACATTATATCTAAACTGCTCCTAATGATTAGTAACTATCTAAAGATACTCCACCAGAGAAAAAATTTATGACCTATGAAGAACTCACCATGGTTAAATTTTTATCACACTTACAAGCAAAATTCCCTTCCATTTGCTCTGGATCTTAGTTTAGACTCAGCTAGCCCTAAAGCTAACAATTCTCTCCTCCACTTTTCACCAGCCATCTTCTTGGAAAAGACCATGACTCTACTTCCTCCCTTCCCATTTACTTTTTAGAAGAATTTTTATTACTGAAAACTTTAGCATATACAAAAAGAGAATAGTATAATTACCTCCTTACTTACCTATTCATCACCCAACTTCAACTAAGACCAATTCCTGGCTCTCTGTTTTATCTATATCCCTTTCTCCTTTCACCTCCCCCTGATGAATTATTTCTAAAACCAGATATATCATTTCATTTGTAAATACTTCAGAATATATCTCTAAATTGAAAAAATCTTTAAAAAATACACAACCATAATACTATTATTATATCTCATGAATGATTCTCATCTAATATCCAGTCATTAGTGTTTACATTTCCTTGACTGTCTTATAGATGTATTTAAAAAGTTTATTTGAATCAGGATCCATGAAAGGCCATACGGTCCCAGCTGATGTTTTAATCTGGAAAACATCATGCTAAGTAAAATAAGCCAGTCCCAAAGGCACAAATGTCATATGTTCTCCCTGATCTGTGACAACTAACTAAGCACCTAAAAGAAAACCTGTAGAAGTGAAACTGACACTATGAGAAGCAATGACTTCATCAGCCCTTGAACTGACTATGGAGGAACAGCTTACTATTGTATCTTTTAGTATTTTCTTTTTCAACTTAACACTATTAGTTGAACTCTTTACTTAACACAGAATTATTCTTATGTGTTTAAATCCAATTGAAAATTGATCCCTGTTTAAAAAAAAAAAAAAAGAGTGGGAATAAGAGAGGGAGGAGATGTATAGTTCAGCACATATTCCCTCAGACTTACCCCTAAGGGTCAAGCTAAAAACTCCCATGGGACTCCAAATCCCATTAAGTTGGCAGGTACTAATGCCATCTTACTAGTTAAAATGATCAGTTTAGGTTCATAATTGATCAAAAAGATACGATTAAGTGTCAAAGGGATCACATAAATAAGACCAAATGTCTGCTAATAATAATAGAATTAAAGAGGAGAGAATGATCCAACATGGGAAGCAGATGACACAGCAGACTCATAGAATGACAAATACCCTAAACAGCACTCTGGACTCAGAATCAGCCCTTAAGGCAATTTGGATCTGGCTAAAAAGCCCATGAGAGCATTTCAGAAATGGAAAGCCAAGACACTATGGCAAAAAATGACCTGCATGGAAGATCTCTGTGAGATCCCAGTGGAAAGAAGGGGCCATCAGAGAGGGAGGTACCTTTCTCTGAAGGAAGGAGAGAAATTCACTTTGATCATGGATGGCCCTGTCTAAATAATGTTGGAGTTTGTGGACTCAAGAAGCTTCCATAGCCTTGGCAGCTCATGACAAGAGTCTCGGGTGATCACTGACATAATAAATAAGAGTGTCAATTATTAAATCAACAACAGGAGTCACTGTGCACTTGCTCCCCATATTGGACCTCTGTCCTTAATGAGAGTTGTATTGTGAGAATTAATGGTAAAACTAGTCTTCAAACACTGCTTTATACTTTTTGTTTCTGTGTGGGTGCGAAGTGTTGAAATCTTTATTTAGTGCAGAGTTGATCTTCTGTGTATAAAGATAATTAAAAATAAATCTTGGGGCCACCACTGTGGCACAGCAGGTTAAAGCCCTGGCCTGAAGCACCGGCATCCCATATGGGTGCCGGTTCTAGTCCCGTCTGCTCCTCTTCTGATCCAGCTCTCTGCTATGGCCTGGGATAGCCGTAGAAGATGGCCCAGGTCCTTGGGCCCCTGCACCCACGTGGGAGACCTGGAAGAAGCTCCTGGCTCCTGGCTTCGGATCAGCACAGCTCTGGCCGTTGTGGCCATCTGGGGAGTGAACCAGTGGATGGAAGACCTCTCTCTCTGTCTCTACCTCTCTCTAACTCTTTCAAATAAATAAAGTAAATCTTTTTTTAAAAAAATGAATCTTAATGGGATAGGAGAGGGAGTAGGAGGTGGGACAGGAGTGGGAATGGAAGGGTGGGTATGGGGGGAAGAACCACTATGATCAAAAAGCTGTACCTATGAAATTTATATTTATTAAATAAAAGCTTTCTAAAAAAAAATCCCTTGTTAACTGAGAGATTCTCTTTTAACTTTTCTCCTTTTCTCTGCTGTCTTACTGCCGCTTATCATTTGCTGCAGTGTTTCCCTAACTGAGTTGCGCTGCTTACAGTCTACCTTCCCCAAATGTAGTCACTGGTCATTTCCTTTCTTCACTGGCACTTATCAGTCAGCAGCTGGATCTGGAGACCTCATCAAACATATCTCATAATGGTTTGTGTGTTTCCATCAGCAACCACCTATGGCAGTTGCTTCCATTTCTATCAGCAACAGGATCCGGTATTCTTTTCATAGTATTAACAAGTATGGACGACCATTGCCCGATCCACTCATCTACTGGGGGGATTGTCAAATAGTAATATCTCAATTCTGTCATTCTTTCTTGACATACTATGGGCACTGCTTCCATAAAGAGAGACTCCCCCTCATCACTATTTGATGAACGTAAATAAGCTGGTTCCCTACCATTCTCCAAAGCTGATCAAAATGTTTCTTTCTTAGTATTATTATAAACTCAGAGACTTAAACATATGTGATGTGTTTCAAGCTGTTGCAGTTATTATCCCAATAGATGCTCAGGAGAACAGCCTCTTCCTATTGCAACCCTAGTGATGTTTGAACACTTCCTGGATTTCTGACAAGACAACATGTTTTAGGCTTATCTTACGTATTTTAAGGGACATATTGGCAATATAAGATATTAGTGGTACTAATTGCTATTGGGATGATCACTAATTCCAGACCTTTTTACTGAACAGTTACAAAACATAACTTTTAAAAGATTACACACCATGACAGTACTTCTAGTTTGAATTAAGATCTATAGTGCTCTTACTAAATGTAATCAGTCATTACATCTAAGTTTCCTTTCTTCAGTAAGCCCATTTTTAATAACATCAATGAGATAATTCATTTTTAATCTCACAACTATAATATGTAACAAATATTTTCAACTAAGTAGAAAATGTTAAACAAGCAAAACAGATTTTGTTGGTATCAGAACAGAGGCCTAATGTTGTATGTTTCAAGATTATTGGGACTGGCACTGTGGCATAGCGGGTAAAGCCACCACCTGCAGTGCCAGCATCCCATATGGGTGCTGGTTCCAGTCCCAGCTGCTCCGCTTCCAATCCAGCTCTCTGTTATGGCCTGGGAAAGCAGCAGAAGATGGCCTAAGTCCTTGGGCCCCTGCACCCGCGTGGGACACCTGGAAGAAGCTCCCGGTTCCTGGCTTTGGATTGGCACAGCTCTCGAAGATGGAAGACCTCTCTCTCTCTCTCTCTCTCTCTCTCTCTCTCTGCCTCTCCTCTCTCTGTGTAACTCTGACTTTCAAATAAATAAATAAATCTTTAAAAAAAAGATTATTATACATCCACTTGGTAAATACTTAGAATGATGACTGATTTACAAAATTCAACATTGAGCATTTCCAAAAATTCATTTCTTCTCTTACCAGTTCTGCAAAATCTGCAGCCTCCAAGTCACTTAAAGCTGTGTCTAATTCCATCTGTATAAGAAAAAACAACAAGGAGTAACCCAAATATTTGATTTATATGTACTACTTTTTAGTAATGGTCATATAAAAAGGGCTTAATAAATACTTGAAGAGTTAACTATCTTTCTCCTTTATATTATTTAAGAAATATCTAAACATAAAACGTCTTATTTTTAAGCTATGCAATACAAAGTTAATTTATTTAACATATGGGCATTTTCAACTAATCCTCAATTGTTGCAAAATGGCCTTCATCTAGTTTTCAATGAAAAACAATTTATGAAGTTAAAAAAAAGTGCTTGCTAGTTTTAAGTTGGAAAAAGTTTTTAACTCCTTAAATTCCTAGAGGAAAATGAAAAATCACTCTTATTGTAGCTAATTTATTTTGTGCTGCTTTTTCATTTCCTGTGTATTTCTCAACAGTTAAGATTCCTAGAAAATACCCACATTCTTCCCAACTCTCTCCAACACACAAAGTTTTATAAAAAAGAGCTGTCATTCTTTATTTGTAGATTAAAACATGAAGGCAGTGTTCCCCTGGAATCTGGCACAGTGTAAGTACCCCACAGAGTTATTAGAAAAAGTTTCTTGCTTAGTATTTAGCTTTTGTTTCTATGGAAATTGCCTGAACTCTTCCCTGAAGCACTCAAAATGTAAAAACAGAATAAATTTAACTTTGAACTTAATTTGTCATGCATATGCATATATCTATAAATTAAAAACTATTGGTAATTAAAGTTTGTAGTATACACACTATTTATCAATAGGAATCCTGTTTTGTTTTGCTTTATTTTTTCTTTAAAGGTCAAGGCACTCTCTGCTAGACTACAAACTGTCTCACTGAGATGACAAAAGCTTTTAAAACATTAGTCATGCCTCTCAATCCTTTTCACAGTATCACTTATTACTCATTTGTGACCTACATTTTTCTGCATCTAGCAAATACTTCATGTTCTGCTTTCTGTAGCTATCATTTATCTTGTGAAAAAACATTCAACAATGAGAAAATTACTGACGTGATTTTTGATTTCAGGAAATATTTAATAAGTTGCTATTCCTGTTACCAAACAAGAGCTCAATAGTATAAGAAAAATATAACTAAAATACAAGAGTAAAATAACTGCTTTTTCATATTCCTTAGGAGAAAAGTGAAATATATTTTAAATATTCCAATGTATCCTAGGAAATATTATTTTTTAAAAATCTAACAAAGGAAATTCTTCAACACCTGAGAAAGAAAGCTTAAGTGAAATTTCATCACATACTAAACTCAGAACAATTATATTTTTACCCAGTTAAAAATAATGATTTCCACTTAAAATTTACCAAGTACAAGTTACTTAGATTTCTTAAGACATTAAATTTCTTTCTATTTTCCAAAGGAAAATATATAGACAACACATCTTATAATTTTTTTTGACAGGCAGAGTTAGACAGTGAGAGAGAGAGACAGAGAGAAAGGTCTTCCTTTTCCATTGGTGCACACCCAAATGGCTGCCGTGGCTGGCGTGCTGCGCCAATCCAAAGCCAGGAGCCAGGTGCTTCCTCCTGGTCTCCCGTGCGGGTGCAGGGCCCAAGCACTTGGGCCATCCTCCACTGCCTTCCCGGGCCGCAGCAGAGAGCTGGACTGGAAGAGGAGCAACCGGACAGAATCCCGTGCCCTAACTGGGACTAGAACCCAGGGTGCCAGTGCCACAGGCGGAGGATTAGTGCAGTGAGCCGCGGCACCGGCCGGCAATGACTTTTAAAATACAACACTAAAAGCATGATCCACGAAGGAAATAATTGTTAAGTTGGACTTCATTAAAGTTAAAAACTTCTGCTCTGTAACACATAATGTCAACAGAATGAGAAGACAAGCCACAAACTGAAAGAAAATATTTGTAAAAGGTATTATCTGATAAAGGACTGTTTCCCAAATATACAAAGAACTTTTTTTTTAAGGACTTTTTATTTATTTATGACAGAGTTACAGACAGTGAGAGGAAGATAGAGAGAAAGGTCCTCCATTGGTTGGTTCACCCCCTAACTGGCCGCAACAGCTGGAGCTGGGCCAATCTGAAGCCAGGAGCTAGGAGCTTCCTCTGGGTCTCCCACGTGGGTGCAGGGGCTCAAGCACCTGGGCCATCCCCCATCACTTTCTCAGGCCATATCAGAGCTGGATCAGAAGAGGAATAGCCAGGACTAGAACTGGAACCCATATGCGATGTTGGTGCTACAGGAGGAGGATTAACCTACTTCTGCCATAGCACCGGCCCCAAAAAACTCTTAAAATTCCACAATATGATCATAAACAACCCGATTTAAAATTGGCCAAAGACCTGAACAAACATTCACCAAAGAAGATACAGATGGCAAATAAGCATATGAAATATGCTTATGTTATCAGGGAACAAGTTGAAACAATATACCCAATAGAATGGGCAAAATTCAGAACACTGAAAACACCAAATTCTGGTGAGGATTTGGAACAATAAGTTTCACTTTTTGCTTTTGGGAATGCAGAAATGGTACAGCCACTCAGAGAATAGTTTGGCTATATCTTACAAAACTAAATCTACTTTTACTATTCTATCCAACAATCAAGCTCCTTAATATTGACTAAAAGGAGGTAAAAACTTATGTTGACATAAAAAACCTGCACAAAGATATTTAGAACAGCTTATTCACATCTGTTAGAATTTAGAAACAACCAAGATGTCTTTCACTAGGAGAATAAATAAACTGTGAGAATCTAGAAAAAATACTATTATTTAGCACTAAAAACAGAAATAAGCTATCAAGCCATGTCACAGAGAGGAACTTAAATTCATATTACTAAATAAAACAGTCAGCCTGAAAAGGCTACATATGTAATCTTAACCAACATGGCATTTTAGGAGAGGCAAAACCATGTAGACAGTAAAAAGATCAGTTGTTACAAAGGGCTGGCAGACAGTGAGGGATGGAGAGGAAAGACAGGCAGAACACAGAGGAGTTTTAGGGCAGTGGAAATTCTCTGTATGACACTATAATGGTGGGTACATGTCAAAATATATCTGTCCAGCTCCATTCACCTCCAAAGGTGGAGCAAAATGCAAAGCATGGACTTTGGGTGCTTATGTACAACATGTCAATGTAGACTCCTCAACGTTAACTGTACCACTCTGTATGGGATGTTGATAATGGGGGAGGCCATGCACATGTGATGTACAAGGGTAGGGGTATAAAAAAAAATCTCTGTACTTTCCTCTCAGTTTTTCTAATTACTTAAAATTGCCCTAAAAAATAAAGACTTAAAAAAAAACCATGAGGGTTATTATGTTATTTAACTTTTCACTAATCAAACAGACCTTCAGAACAGTTTATCAGAAGGTATCCATCTCCCTTTCCAAAGTATTGTTCTTAATTCCCCTAACTGTATGATAAAATACAGAAAATATCTCAGTTATTTCCCCAATGTTTCCTGCATGTTAATCTCACTAGCTCAACTTGACTGTGAGCACCTAGAAACTTTTCCGGATTCCACAAAGCACAGAACAAATTTGAGCACCTGGCATAATGAAAACTGATCTCCAAATGGTAGACTTAGACTAAACCAGAACAAAAACAACCAAGGCTTTGGTGAGGCAAGAAACAGCTATGATGTGAGGCAAGGAGTTAAAAATTATATACCACGGGACCCGCGCTGTGGCGTAGCGGGTTGAGCCGCCGCCTGCAGTGCCGGCATCCCGTATGGGCGCTGGTTTGAGTTTCAGTTGCTCTACTTCCGATCCAGCTCTCTGCTATGGCCTGAGAAAGCAGTAGAAGATGGTCCAAGTCCTTGGGCCCCTGAACCCACATGGGAAACTCAGAAAGGGCTCCTGGCTCCTGGCTTCAGATCAGCACAGCTCCGGCCGTTGCAGACAACTGGGTAGTGAATCAGCATATGGAAGACCTCTCTCTCTCTCTGCCTCTCCTCTCTCTGTTACTCTGACTTTCAAATAAATAAATAAATCTTTAAAAAACTTATATACCATAACTCGCAGAACTCAAGTTCTTAGCTTGGTAATATTTTAGGTTGGAGTAAAGAAAAGCATGTAAGACTTTTAATCAAATATATGCTAACTTAAGGGAAAAAACCTCAATAAAAATAAATCTGAATAGAAGAGGTAGCTTTCACATCGAATTTATAAGATTAAAATAGACTGTATTTTAAAATGTCTTAAGTCTCTTACAGGGAAAATTATATATTTAATCTCAGTGTATCTAAATTCTACACTGGGGGCCGGCACTGTGGCGTAGCAGGTAAAGCTGCCACCTGCGATGCCGGCATCCCATATGGGTGCTGATTTGTGTCCTGGCTGCTCCACTTCCAATCCAGCTCTCTGCTATGGCCTGGGAAAGCAGTACAAAATGGCCCAAGTGCTTGGGCCCCTACACCCACATGGGAGACCCGGAGGAAGCTCCTGGCTCCTGGCTTCAGATTGGGGCAGCTCCAGCCATTGCGGCCATCTGGGGAGTGAACTAGCGGATGGAAGACCTCTCTCTCTGCCTCTCCTTCTCTCTCTGTAATTCTGACTTTCAAGCAAATAAGTAAATCTTTAAAAAACTAAATAAATAAAGTCTACATTGCCCCTAAAAACATTAAGGGATCCTACTGTCTCAGAAAGAGGATATACATTTTGATAGATGAAGTTTCCTTAATAAAGAGATTTTGAGACAAGCATAAGAAACTGGGTCACTGCCATCTGGAACGGCAGGCTTTATGAGATAGTGCCTTCTGGCTCATGAAGTATGCCTGGGGTCTGGGTCTTTCCAAGGAAAGACTCCAGAATGGACGAAAGACCTTTTGGAGCCAGAGTCTCCTATCTCAAAGGCAAAGTCATCTAATTATTTTTCATCTATCTTGAATACATAGAGAGTTTTTTATGAAAACACTGGTGAGTATACATGTATATATGTATAGTTTTTATACGATTTACCAAGGAGATTAAAAGATCAATGTAAATGATTGTTAAGCTGTCAAAAAGCATTTCTTTGATCATATATTTGAGAATTTCATGAAGAGTAAAATTTTGATTCAGGCTTGTACATAACCTGGGTTTTCCTCATGAAAAGAGCACTGGCTATGGCAGAGTGCCTCATTCAATACCTGTAACTGGATAGATTAGCTGGGGATCTGAGGCCGGCACTATGGCTCAATAGGCTAACCCTCCGCCTTGCGGCGCCAGCACACCGGGTTCTGTCCTGGTCAGGGCGCCGGATTCTGTCCCGGTTGCTCCTCTTCCAGTCCAGCTCTCTGCTGTGGCCCGGAAAGGCAGTGGAGGATAGTCCAAGTACTTGGGCCCTGCACCCCATGGGAGACCAGGAGAAGCACCTGGTTGCCGGCTTCAGATCAGTGCGGTGTGCCGGCCACAGCGGCCATTGGAGGGTGAACCAATGGTAAAGGAAGACCTTTCTCTCTGTCTCTCTCTCTCTCACTGTCCACTCTGCCTGTCAAAAAACAAAAACAAACAAACAAACAAACAAAAAAACAAAAAACAAACTGGGGATCTGTATTGATTTAAAAATGTCTGAAATGATCTTGTCAGTCATTCAATATTAGTTATTCTGGGTATGCAGGTGTGCTTAAGTTACTTCGGTAACACTTAACCATCATGAAGTCTTACCCTTGGTAACCAATTTAAGGAATAAGTCAAAAGTTAATTACATACATTCATGTAAAGAAACGTTTTTCTATTATCATTGAACTTTATATTTAATTAATACGATATATTAGTTAATCATTTCATCCACTTTTAATCTACTTAGAAATATAACGCTAACATTATGACTTAGCATTATGAAATCCAAATTACAAAATTCTAAAGACACACTATTTAATTATCATTTCTGAAAAGCATTCCGAATTCAGGCAATGTTTAAACTTAAAGGAAGACTAGAGGGCCAGTTTCTATTTACAAAGAATAATTTGTGTTTCTAAGTTTATAGCACTGGACCTCTACTTCATCAACCTATTATTTTTAATTCTTACCCATAGTCCCCAAAATAACAACAACAACAAAAAAACCTAAAAATTAAAAAAAGGGAAATAGAAAGAGAGAGGATAAAGGATTCAAGTAAGACAAAGGGCTCTGATTCTTATTTACTGAACCATAATGTTACCTTGATTTCCTGTGGAAGTGGGAGCCATCGAACTCCAGGGAGAGCATCTAAGAGCACAGCACTGGAGGCGTCATACAGCTGAGCACTGGAACCAGGGACGGAATGCAGTTTAGCAGGCTGAAGTGCTCTTTGAAAGAACAAGCTAAAAAAATGATCCAAGCGAGGAACGTTCTCAATCTGGCAAAAGGCACTGGAGAAATAAAGAGAGGCAAGTTAGTAACTTAACATGGAAAAGATTCGCGTGTTGTTCAAGAGACTGGATCTTTCTCAATCATAAAGCTGTTCTTCCTCACTCTTCTCCCCTAGTAAGAATCAGTGCTTAATGTTATCGATGGGATGTGTTAAGAAATTCGCCCTGTCCATGTTTCCGACTTTAAATTCCTCCTCTCAAATGTACTCTAAAAATCGTGCTATGGAAGGTCCACGGGTCTAACACAAGTGGTTTATCAACCATTGAAAGGGTTGAGTACTGTTTTTGTTAAAAAAAAAAAAAATGTTGCTTTTACTCTATCTCACAACCATTTACAACTTCCAATATCTTTCACGCAACATGGGATAATAAAGAGATTTTCAACTTTGTAATAGAAGAGATCTGGCTTTCAATCTTACCACTGTTCCTACTAGGTAGCTATCCCAGGAAAAGTACCTAACCTGGCTCTCAACTTTGGCCTCCAATTCTGTAAAAATGGGGTTAATACAAGCTAAAGCACATGCAAAGTACCATGTCTATAGCAATGCTTATTACTTACTGAATACAGCAGGTACAAAATAAGAAAGATGTTATTTCTTTTACTCTTCACTATGAAGGAGGGAGGGAGGGAGAGAGGGGGGGAGAGGGAGAGAGAGAGAGAGACAGACAGACACTACTTGTTTTTAGCCATGTAAAAGCAATATACTATTGACTGCAACCATTCATTGGAACAGCTCACTGGATGATACAGTAACTGGTACATGTGCCAATAACATTTCAAAATAATTTTTACTGATTCATCCAACAAATATTTGAGTGCCTACTCTGTTCTGGGCACTTTTCTCATTGCTGGAGGTCCAACAGTAAAAATATTAAGGTAAGGGACCAGTGCTATGGCGTAGCAGGTAAAGCCACCACCTGCAGAGCCGGCATCCCATATGGGCACCAGTTTGAGTCCTAGCTGTTCCACTTCTGATCCAGCGCTCTGCTATGGCCTGGGAAAGCAGTGGAAGACAGCCCAAGTGTTGGGCCCCTGCACTGGCATGGGAAATCTGGAAGAAGCTCCTGCCTCCTGACTTCGATCGGCCCAGCTTCAGCCATTGTGGCTATCTGGGAAGTGAACCAGTGCATGGAAGATCTCTCTCTCTCTCTATCTCTGCCTCTCTGTAATTCTTTTAAATGAATGAATGAATGGAGGAGGAGGAGGGGTAAGGGGAGGGGTAAGGGGAGGGGGAGAGGGAGAAGGAGAAGAAGAAGAAAAGGCAGCAGCCAGGCTCTCATATGACCTGAGCCTCCTTTCTTTAAAAAAAAAAAAAAAAATTAAGGTAAGCCAATGAGCTCCTGTGCAGGTCCCATTCTAGTGGAGAACAACATATAAAGAAACAGTAAAAGCATGAGCTCACAAAGGACTATGCACAGAATAGGTCAATGGGAACATGGAATGTGCCTGGTTGGTTATCTCTGAGGGAGGGGCATATAAAATAACAGACCAATGTTATCCACCAAAAGATAGATGCCAAAGCTCTGGGGTGAGGACAGGCTTTGCCAGTGTGCCTGCACTACGGTGCAGAGGCAGGAGCTGTCAAGAAAGGTGGGTAAGGGGCCGGCGCCGCAGCTCACTAGGCTAATCCTCTGCCTAGCGGCGCCGGCACACCGGGTTCTAGTCCCGGTTGGGGCGCCGGATTCTGTCCCGGTTGCCCCTCTTCCAGGCCAGCTCTCTGCTGTGGCCTGGGAGTGCAGTGGAGGATGGCCCAGGTGCTTGGGCCCTGCACCCCATGGGAGACCAGGAAAAGCACCTGGCGCCTGGTTCCTGCCATCGGATCAGCGCGGTGCGCCGGCCGCAGCGCGCCGGCCGCGGCAGCCATTGGAGGGTGAACCAACGGCAAAGGAAGACCTTTCTCTCTGTCTCTCTCTCTCACTGTCCACTCTGCCTGTCGAAGGAAAGAAAGGAAGGAAAGGAAAGAAAGGAAGGAAGGAAGGAAGGAAGGAAGTAAAGAAGGAAGGAAAGAAAGGTAAGATCCACATGATAATATGGAAAGACCACTGTTAACAGCTGTATGAAGATTAATAATTACAGTGGCAAGAAGAGAGGTAAGGATACCAGTTAGGGGGTAGCTAGAGAAATGGTGATGCTGGACAGGCCAATTAACAAAGATGGAGAGGAATGGATGGATTGGAGATATGTTTTGAGACATACTGATCAGAACATGTTGAAGGATCAGTTGGGAATGGCAAAGAAAACTGTCACATTTAATTTAATCACAACATTAAACCATCAACATATAATCAGTTTTCTTTTTTTTTTTCTTTCTTTTTACAGAAATTTATTTTGCTCACAATTCTAGAAGCTAGGAAATTCAAAAGTATGATGCCAGCATCTGGCAAGAGCCTCCTGTAGCACCAGTTTTCTATGACTCACAGGGAACTAACCAGCTCACAACCTAACAAAAATAATTATGTCTTTGGACCTTTTGGTTGCTTCAGAACTTTTCAAATTGGGCCACTAATATCTTCCATAATCAGAAAAGGCCTTGTTAAGTAAAATGTCAATTAGTAACATCTTGGATCCATTTTTCTTCTTGGTTTTAAGAATTCAATGATATTCACACTCATTGTCACAATTCCAAATTTTTACTTGAACAAGTGAAAACTTTTTAATTTTATTTAAAAAATACAAACTTCATGCATTTCATATATACAAATTTGGGAACATGGTGATTTTTCCACCCCTACCTCCCTCCTACCCATATTCCCACTATTCTTCTTCCCTCTCCCATTCCTATTCTTATTTTTCACAAAGATCTATTTTCAGTTAATTTTATACTAATAAGATTAACCCTTCACTAGGTAGAGAGTTCACCAAATAGTATGATTAAAAAAAATAATAAAAACAAACAAAAATATTGTTTCTCAACAGTCAAGACAAGGGCTATTCAAAAATCATTAGCATCTCGAGGTGTCAGTTTCACTCCTATAGATTATCTTTTAGGTACTCTGTTACCACAGATCAGAGAGACCATATGATATTTGTCTTTTTGTAGCTGTCTTATTTCACTAAGTAAATGGTTTCCAGTTGCATCAATTTTGTTGCAAATAACAGGATTTCACTATTATTTTTGCCACTGTGTAGTATTCCATAGTGTATATATACCATAACCTCTTTATCCAGTCTTTAGTTGATGGACATCTAGGTTGACTCCATATCTTAGTTATTGTAGATGGAGCTGCAATGAACATGGGAGTATAGATAACTCTTTCATATGCTGATTTTATCTCCTTTGGGTAAATTCCAGGAGTGGGATGGCTGGGTCATATGGGAGGTCTAAATTCAGTATCCTGAGGTATCTCCATACTGTCTTCCACATTGGGTACATGAGCTTACAATCCCACCAACAGTGGAATAGGGTACCCTTTCCCCCACATTCTCACCAGCATTTGTTGTTTGTTGGTTTCTTTATGAAAACCATTCTAACTGGGGAGAGGTGAAACCTCATTGTGGTTTCAATGTGCATTTCCTTGATGGCTAGTGATTATGAGCATTTTTTCAAGTGTCTGTTGGCCATTTGAATTTCCTCTCTTGAAAAAGGTCCTTTGGAGGTACCTTTCTCTGAAGGGAGGAGAGAACCTCCACTTTGACTATGACCTTGTCTAAACAAGATAAGAATCGGAGAACTCAGAGGGCTTCCATAGCCTTGGAAACTCATGACTGGAGCATAGGGAGACTACTGATGCCATAGACAGGAGTGTCAATTGGTAAAGTCAACAACAGGAGTCACTGTGCACTTACTCCTCATGTAGGATCTCGGTCCTTAATGTGCTGTGTATTGAGATTTAATGCTATAACGAGTACTCAAACAATATATTTCACTTTGTGTTTCTATGGGGGTGCAAACTGTTGAAATCTTTACTTAATGTATACTAAACTGATCCTCTGTAAAAAAAAAAAAAAAAAGAAAGAAATTCTCAACTACCAACTTGACTCTCACTGGGATTAAACATGACAATAGGTCTGATCTGATTTCATCATCATTTAAAAAAAATCATCTATTATTTTTCACTTTATGTTTCTGTGTGGGAGCAAACTGTTGAAATCCTTACTTAATGTATACTAAGCTGATCTTCTGTATATTAAGATAATCGAAAATGAATCTTGATGTGAATGGAAGGGGAGAGGGAGTGGGAAAGGGGAGGGTAGTGGATGGGAGGGACGGTATGTGGAGGAAGCCATTGTAATCCATAAATCGTACTTTGGAAATTTATATTCATTAAATAAAAGTTAAAAAAAAAAAGAAAAGAAAAAGGTCCTTTGCCCATTTCTTAACTGGAATGTTTGTTTTGTTGAGTTTCTTAAGCTCTTAACAGATTCTGGAAATTAATCCTTTATCAGTTGCATAGTTTGCAAATATTTTCTCTCACTTTATTGGTTGCTTCTTTACTTTTCTGAGTGTTTCATTTGCAGTGCAGAAGCTTCTCAGTTTGATAAAATACCATTTGTTACTTTTGGCTTGTGGTTCTGGGTCATTTCCAAGAAGTCTTTCCCTATGCCAATGTCTCATAGGGGTTCCCTAATGTCCTCTAGTAATTTGATAGTATCAGGCTGTAGATTAGGTCTTGGAACATGTTGAGCGGATTTTTGGATAAGGTGTAAGGTAGGGGTTCTGTTTCATATGTCTGCACGTGGAGCACCATTTCTTGAAGAGACCATCTTTGCTCCAGGGATTGATTTTTGCTCCTTTGTCAAAGGTAAGTTGGTTGTAGATGCATGGATTTATTTCTGGAATTTCTTTTCTGTTCCATTGGTCTACACATCTGTTTTTTCGTCAGTACCAGGCTGTTTTGATAACTGCCCTGTAGGGTGTCTTGAGATCTGGTATTATAATGCCTCCAGCTTTGTTTTTGTTCTTCAAGATTGCTTCAGCTACTCACAATCTCTTGTGTTTCCATATGAATTTTAGCATCATTTTTTTCTAGATCTGAGGAGAATAATGTTAGTATTTTGATTGGTATCACACTGAATCTATAAATTGCTTTTGGTAGTATGGGCATTTTGATGATGTTGATTCTCCCAATCCATGAACATGGAAGATTTTTCCACTTTTTTATGTCTTCTTTTATTTCTTTCTTTAATGTTTTATAATTTCCATCATAGAGGTCTTTGATGTCCTTAAATTTATTCCAAGATTTTTAAATTTCTGTGTAGCTACTGTGAATGGGATTGTTCTCAGTTCTTTCTCAGCTATGGCACTGTCTATATATACAAATGCTATTGATTTTTATGTGTTGATATTATATCCTGCTACTTTACCAAACCCTTTTGAGTTCAAATAGTCTCTTGGTAGAGTCTTCTGGATCTCCTAGATACAGAATCACTTCATCTGCAAATAGGGATAGTTTGACTTCCTCCTTCCCAATTTGTATCCCTTTAATTTCTTTTTATTGCTTAATGGCTCTGGCTAAAAATTCCTGGACTATATTGAATATCAATGATGAGAGTGGGCACCCCTGTCTGGTTTTGTATCTCAGTGGGAATGCTTCCAACTTTTCCCCCAGTCAATAGGAAGCTGGCCGTGGGTTTGTCATAAATTGCCTTGATTGTGTTGAGGAATGTTCCTTCCATACCCAGTTTGCTTAGAGTTTTCATCATAAAAGGGTGTTGTATTTTATCAAAGCTTTCTCTGCATCTAATGAGATAATCATATGGCTTTTGTTCAACAGCTTGCTAATGTCATGTATCGTATTTATTGATTTGCAAATGCTGAACCATTGCTGCATACCACAGATAAATCCCACTTGATCTGTGTGAATCATCTTTCTGATGTTTTGTTGGATTCTATTACATAGTATTTTGTTGAGGATTTTTGCATCTATGTTCATCAGGGAAATTGTTCTATAATTCTGTTATCCTGTTGTATCTTCTGTTTTCGAATTAACGTAATGCTGGATTCATAGAAGGAGTCTGGGAGGATTATGTTCCTTTAAATTGTTTTGAATAGCTTGAGTAGAATTGGAATTAGTTCTTGTTTAAATGTCTGGAAGAATTCAGCAGTGATGCCTCCAGTACCTGGGTTTTTCTTTGTTGGGAAGGTCTTTATTACTGCTTCAATCTCCATCTTGTTTATTGGTCTGTTTACGTGTTCTATGTTTTCATGTCTCAATTTTGGTAGATTATATGTGTTCAGGAATCTATTCATCCTTTTAAGTTTTCTGATTTGTTGGCATACAGCTCTTTGCAGTAATTCCTGATGACTCTTTATTTCTGTGGTATCCACTGTTACATTACATTTCCTTTTTCATCTCTGATTTTATTGATTTGGGTCTTTGCCTTTTTTTTGTTTTTTTTTGTGTTGTTAGTTGGAGAAAGTGTGTCAATTTTGTTGTTTATTTTTTCAAAAACCCAGCTCTTCATTTCATTGATGTTTTGTATTGTTTTGTTTGTTTGTTTGTTTGTTTCAAGTTTCTTTATTTCTTCTCTAATTTTAATTATTTCTTTTCTCCTACTAATTTGTGGTTTGGTTTGTTGTTGTTTTTCTAGGTCCTTGAGACATATTAATAGTTAATTTATTTAGTAACTTTTCAGTTTCTTGATGTAGGTACCAATTGTTATAAACCTGCCTCTTAATATTTCTTTTGCTGTATCCCTTAAGTTTTGATATGATGTATTGTCACCTTTACTTGTTTCCAGGTTTATTTCTCTTTTGATTGCTTTTATGGCCCACTGCTCATTCAAGAGCATGTTTGGTATCCAAATGTTTGCATATATTCTAGAGATTCTTGAGTTCTGGATTTCCAGCTTCAATCCATTGTGATCAGAGAAGATGCATGGCATCATTTTGATTTTTTTGAATTTGCTCAGACTTTTGTGGCCTTGTATATGTTCTATCCTAGAGAAGGTTCTGTGCACTGATGAGGAGAATGTGTATTCTGCAACCATGTGGTTAAAAGTTCTGTAGATATCATTACATCTATATGGTCTATAGTTTCAATTAGCTCTGTTGTTTGTTGATTTTCTGTCTGGTTGATCTATCCATCAATGAAAATGGGGTATTGAAGTCTCCCATTACTATTGTATTGGAGTCTATGTCTGCCTTTAGATCCATTAACAGTTGTTTTAAATATCCAAGTACTCTGTAATTGTGTGCATACACAGTTATTATAGTCACATATTCCTGTTGACTTGATTCCTTAATCATTACATAGTGCCCTTCACTGTCTCTTTTAACAGTTTTTGTGCTAAAGTCTATTTTGTCTGATATTAGGATGGCTACACCTGCCCTCTTTTGCTGTCTATTGGCATGGAATATCTTTTTCCCTCCTTTTACTTTCAGTCTATGTGTATCTATGTTGGTGAGATGTGCTTCTTTTAGGCAGCAAATAGATAGGTCTTATTTTTTAATCTATTTGACCAGTGTGTTGAGGCCATTTCCATTTCGACTTGGGCCTGGCATTTCTCCATGAATATTCCTATCATTTACTTTGGATTTCTTTTGTACTTTTACTGGGGTATTTCCTGCATTCACATTCTTTCATGATGATGGCTTTCTTTCTGTGTTTCTTTGTATAGCACATCTTTCAGCATCTTTTGTAAAGCTGCATGAGCAGTGACAAACTCAATTTCTGTTTGTTATGGAAGGTCTTTATTTCATCTTCATTAATAAATGAGAGCTTTGGAGGGTACAGTGTTCTGAGTTGACAGTTTTTTTCTCTCAAGACTAGGACTATGCCTTGCCATTGTCTTCTTTGCTGTAGGGTTTCTGATGAGAAGTCAGCTGTGAGTCTAATTGCAGATCCTCTAAAAGTTATCTGGCATTTTTCTTGAAGCAAAAAACTCTTAAAAATGCTGCCATCTTAGGGTCACTTTCAAGTCAACAGAAGCTATAATTCAAGGTAAAATTCAGAGAACATAAGTCCCTCTGCACTCAACCTACTTTACTGACTGTTGACTGTTTTCATGTATGAAACTCATTATAGAAATTCAATCCTTACTAATACCTGGCTTTATGGAAACAGTGAGCTTCAACTAGGGCAAAATATAGCACTGTTTGTTTCTCTACTATAAATTTAAGGAGGTCATTTTTAATCACACCTATATTTTCCATTGGTTAAAAATTTCCTTATCAGTAAAAGGGAAAAAGCAGCATTTATGGATGCCCAACCTTTTGGGGCTCATTCATATGGAAAATGCTGGTAAAACAGTGTGAGAGGTATGAGCTTCCTCAGAGGCTCCCCCATAGAAGGACACTGCAAACCCGATCATTTTCCTAGATGACAGAACCACAGAAAATTCTTTCACATGCCTTGACAACAGTAGCAATAAAGACCCACTATGGATAAATACAGCTGATACCACTGTGGTTAGGAAAAATCTATAGACTGCTTTTGAACATTTATATTGGTATGTTCCTAAGGCTTTGAAAGCAAAGAAGTAATTTTGACCCTCAGAAGTACTATAACTCACAAAAATTCCACAAAGAGAAAAATCCATTTTCCATCCACAATATTATGTGCTCAAATGTTGAAAAATAAACTCAAATTTCCTCCTTCAAATCAGAAAATACAAATCATATTATAAAGAAAGGTTAAGATGTAAGAAGGGGAAAATATGCATAGTATAAGACCACTTGTGGGGGCCAGCGCTGTGGTGCAGCAGGTTAACGCCCTGGCCTGAAGTGCTGGCACCTTTATGGGCACCGGTTCTAGTCCTGGCTGCTCCACTTCCGATCCAGCTCTCTGCTATGGCCTGAGAAAGCAGTAGAAGATGGCCCAGGTCCTTGGGCCCCTGCACCCACATGGGAGACCCAGAGGAGGCTCCTGGCTCCTGGCTTTGGATCAGCTCAGCTCCAGCCGTTGCAGCCATTTGGGAAGTGAACCATCAAATGGAAGACCTCTCTCTCTCTCTCTCTCTCTCTCTCTGCCTCTCCTCTCTCTGTGTAATTCTGACATTCAAATAAATAAATAAATCTTAAAAAATAAAAGACCACTTGTGCAAAAAAAAGCATCTGCATACTCATACTGTATTGAAAAATACAGAATACACATAAGACAGTTAATACCTTCTCTACAGCATGTCTACATTTTTTATGACATTATACTATTTTTACTGAAAAAATTTTTTTGAGAAAGAAGCATATTTTAGGATAACGATTTTGACTACAGTCTTAGAAGTTGAATAAAACACAAAATGTATTTAATACCTTACTCTTTTCTGTGTCGATAATGATATTTGCCCCTACAGAAATACATCAATCAGAAAATAATTGCAGTTATAAAAATATTTCACTAGAAAGTTTCACTAAAGTAATTGTGATATTTAAAAACATAGATTAAAAACTACCTAGAGTTGTGAAATAAAAGTCAGTAATAAGAGAAGAGGTGGAGGAGGTAGAGGAGGAACAGTAAAATAACTAATTTCCAAGTAAAAAACAGTATTAGCTACAAACAGTGATATAGCAGCATATACTTAAAACTTGAGATTCGGTCCAAAGTACTTACCTATCTAAAGAACCATACATAAACTTCAAGGTACGGGCAACATCTTCTATCATGTTCCTTAGCTGAGGAAGTGGAACACTAAAAAAGCAAAAACATCTATTCAATTATAACAAATAAAATTATATATATCTTACAACAGCAAAACATTCTTTACACTTTATATAAAAACTGTGTGTGTCAACTATGAATAGGGCTGTGAAAAACGGGTGTATTCTATATCAGCAATTGATTCCCTTGAGAGATGGGCTTCTAGCATGAAGCAAATAGGGACTTTTCAAACTGTTATTTATAAGCAAATTCTTTAATCCTCTTCAGTAACTGAATTTCTTCACTTGTAAATGGTGCCAGTAATCACTAAGTCTTTCACAGGCTGATTTTGAGGATTAAATGAAATTAACACATACACAATACATAGTGTAGTACCTAGTCCCATAGAAATAAATACTAAATTCTTTTTTAAAAAGATTTATTTAGGGGCCTGTGTTGTGGTATATAGTAGGCTAAGCCTCCACCTGCAGTGCTGGCATACCATATGGGCACCGGTTTGCGTCCTAGCTGCTCCTCTTCTGATCTAGATCTCTGCCTGTGACCTGAGAAAGCAGTGGAAGATGGCCCAAGTGCTTGGGCTCCTGCACCCACCTTGGAGACCTGGAAGAAGCTCCTGACTCCTGGCTTTGATCAACCCAGCTCCAGCCATTGCAGTTAATTGGGGAGTGAACCAGTGGATGGAAGACCTTTCTATCTCTCCCTCTCTCTGTATCTACCTCTCAAATAAATAAATAAATAAAAATTTTAAAACAAAAGATTTATTTATTTGAAAGGCAGAAGACAGAGAGAGGGAGAAATATAGAGAAAAAGAGATAGATCTTCCATCTACTGGTTCACTCCCCAGATGGCTGCACAGCTATGGCTGGGCCTGGGCAAGGCCAGGCACCAGGAACTCCATCTGGGACTCTCACACGGGTGGTGGTAACCCAAGCACTTGGGCCATCTACTGCTGCTCTCCCAGGCACATTAGCAAGGAGCTGGAATGAAAATGGAGCAGCCAGGACTATGCTGTTACTCACATCAGATGCTGGCTTCATAAGAGGCGGCTTAGGGGGTGAGCAAGGTGGCATAATAGGTTAAACTGCTGCCTGCGATGCTGGCATCTCATATGTGTGCCAGTGTAAATCCCAGCTGCTCCACTTCCAATCCAGGTCCTGCTAATGTGCCTGGGGAAGCAGAGGAAGTTGGCCCAAGCCCTTGGGCGCCAGCATCCACATGGGATATCTACCAGTGCAATCATAAACCACATTCACAATGCTGGAGATACAGACAGAGGAACAGCTGCTGAAGAGGTGCTTGTGCAGGCTCTCTCAATACTCCATTTTCCAGTGTAAACAATAATAATAATAATAATAATAATATCTATCATGCCTGGTTACAGGAAATGAGATGGAATAAGGGAAAGAATCTGGTCCAGAGTGGTCAGCATGAGCATCAGGAGAGGGCCAGAGGAGGCTAGTGCTGGTTTTGACTTGTAACTCAGGATAGAAAAAAAAAAGGAGGCTTTCTAGCTAATTCTAAGTTATCAAGCCCAGTTCTGTAGGAGACGTATGACATAAATATTTATGGAAGATGACTCTCCATTTTGAGTAATAGAGATCAAGAAATAGGCAGAGCTTCCCCTCCTGGAGCACACAGTGAAGATCTCTTTTTTTAGCTTTTGGATCAAACCTTTCCTGATTCGGCTGCTGTCCTCAGTGTGGCTGAGCAGCCTCTGCTCAGAGCCCTCACTGGCCCTTCCTCGCTCTCTATCTGCCTACGCTGCCTTTATCTTACTTTTGTGTTTTCTGTTTCTTCTCTTTTGCCATTTGGGCTATTACAAGTGTTTTGTTTAGTTTTGCCACTGCATCCTGAATTATGTTATATCCTGGATGCTCTCCTATTCTTGTAAATCTACACTTTTAAAATGACTCCTTGGTTCTTCCTAATTCAACCAACTGTCCTAGGGAAGTCTCCTAGCTGGGTTCATTAAAATCCCCCTTTAGACAGCAACATGCAAATTAGCCAGTTACAGAGCAAGCATCATCATCTAGCATATGTCACAGCACCATTATCCTCTCATGTTAAACATTTTTGAAAACCATTTTTATGATAGATTATCTCTCTTTACGTCCAAATTTAAGTCCTCTTCAAAATAAAACATTTTGAGAGGGCCAGGCACTATGGCACAGTGAGTTAAGTCGCCACTTGTGACACTGGCATTCCATTTCTAGGTGCCAGCTCAAGTCCTGGCTGCTCTGCTTCTGATCCACCTTCCTGTTAATGCACCTGGGAAAGCAGCAGAAGATGGCTTGGATACTTGGGCCCTGTCACCCACATGGGAGCCCAGGCCATTGCGGCCATTTGGGGAGTGAACCAGTGGATGAGAAATCTCTTTATCTTTCCCTACCTCTCTCTCTGTCAGTCTTTCAAATAAATAAAACAAATCTTAAAAAAAAAAAGTCATTTCTGGGGCCCACATTGTAGCATAGTGGGTAAAGCTGCCACTTGCAATGCTGGCTCCACTTCCGATCCAGCTCTCTGCTTATGCACCTGGAAAGGCAGTGGGTGGTGGCCCAGATCCTTGTCCCCTGTATCAATGTAGGGCATCTGGAAGAAGCTCCTGGCTCCTGGTTTTGGATGGTCCAGCTCCAGCTGTTGTGGCCATTTGGGTAATGAACCAATAGATGAAAGATCTCTCTCAGCAACTCTGCCCTTCAAATAAATGAAATAAATTTAAAAAAAAAAAGTTATTTTGCAACTTTTCACAGCAGCCTTTGGAGTTCCTAGTAATAGTAAAAAAAAAAAAATCTACAAATTCTTTGATACTCTTCCCCTCAAGAAGCAGAGCTTAATTCCTCTCCTCTCAAGAATGGACTGGACTTTAGTTACTCACCTCTTCTTCTTCTTCTTCTTTTTTTTAAAGATTTATTTACTTATTTGAGAGACAAAGGCGGGGGGCGGGGTCTTCTACCTGCTGGGTCACTCCCCAAATGGCCGCACCGGCCAGAGCTGGGCCAATCCCTGGGCTCCTAATCAGCTTGTTATGGATTGTCAATCCTGTTTTTACTTTCAACTACTAAAGTCAGATATATTTCAAAAAATGCCACGAAAAAGTTAAGGAGCTCATGAGAATATAACATACCTTTAGAGAAGTCACCTTAGAAAATACATATTATTTTGTCAAATGGGGTCAACATCAGGGTAAGATACCCTTTTATTGACCCTTAATTCTCCTATAAAACACAAAAGACAAGCTCAGCTACCTCTGTACCAGCCACAAAAGAGAGAAGCGTATTGACAGTGCCCACCTTAAAAAGAACCCCTCTGCACAAATGAACACGGGCAACCTGCAGATCCTAAACCTATTTCAGGAGTTCCTCTTCCGACAACATCAACATTTTCATGAAATGGACTTTGCGAACAGAATTTTAGAGATGATTTTCAAGGTAAACAAAAATCTCAACTTACTCATCAGCAGGCAGGCCAATTAACAACAACTTGTCGGATTCTTTCCAATAAGCTATGTGGATTTCTTTCGCATTTAAAAGGAGGGATGAGCTAAGAAAAAATAAACACAAAATAAGGTCACAATATCTTTACATGTCATACTGTGATAAAAATCATTCCAAAAAAATTACACATGTTATGATTTATGGACTGTATGATTAATAGGCAAATTTCTTGGCATATTCTTAACTGTGACACAGAAAGGGCAAGGAAATGTACGATATATGTATTCTAAAATACTTAAAAAAGTAAAGGCCTGAGTAAATTGTATGAATATATTCTAAAATACTTACTTAAAAAACAAAAATAAAAAACCCAAAAACCTCTGCCAAATAAAAGTAGACCTATCATAGAAAAGGTAGAGCCACTATAGAAGAAAACATGTTTAAGTTCTTTTGCTACCATTATTTAACTATATGCAATTCTTTTTTCCAAAGGAAACCCAACCGATTAATTCAGCAAAACCTTCTGTGACTGCTTATATACAAATATGACTGGGTAAGGAGATTACAAAGAAAGGAAGATGTGACCCTATCCCAGGACAAGACAATCCGGCGTAAGACCCAGGTATGTAAATAAGGAACCAAAACACATGTCAGAATTAAGCATGTTCTTGGGGCCGGAGCTGTGGCACAGCAGGTTAATGCCCTGGCCTGAAGTGCCGGTATCCCATATGCATGACAGTTGGAGACCTGGCTGCTCCATTTCCGATCCAGCTCTCCACTACAGCCTGGGAAAATAGTGTAAGATGGCTCAAGTCCTTTGGCCCCTGCACCCACCTAGGAGATCCGAAAGAATCTCCTGGCTTCAGATCGGCGCAGCTCCGGCCATTGCGGCCAATTAGGGAGTGAGCCATCGGATGGAAGACCTCTTTCTCTCTCTCTGCCTCTCCTCTCTTTGTGTAACTCTGACTTTCAAATAAAGCAAATAAATCTTATTAAAAAAAAAAAAGAATTAAGCATGTTCTCAAGAAGGTTTTTGTAATGATGGTTTCAGAGTATGTCAAACCAATCAAATTCTACAGCTAGCATACATACAAGTTTATTGTGTTTCAATTACATTTCATGAAGTTTTAAAAATAAAAGTGTTCTAAAAACAGATTCAACAATGAACTATAGAAAAAGGAGAATACAGTGTGTAGACTCTTAAATATAAATAAAGGATTTTTTCAAAAAGAACATTTTGTTTGTCTTAAAGTTAAAATGCATACACTTTTAGAGAAACAGAAGACTCTCTTGTAGTCACACTAAGATTACTAGTTTAGGGGCTGGCACTGTGGTGTAGCGGGTAAAGCTGCTGCCCGCTGTGCCGGCATCCCATATGGGTGCCAGTTCGAGTCCCACTGCTCCACTTCTGATCCAACACTCAGCTATGGTTTGGGAAAGCAGTGGAAGATGGCCCAAGTCCTTGGGCACCTGTACCTGCATGGGAGACCCAGAAGAAGCTCCTGGCTCCAGATCGGCACAGCTCCAGCTGTTGCGGCCATCTGGGGAGTGAACCAGCAAATGGAAGACCTCTCTTTTCTCTTTCTCTCTCTCTCTCTCTGTATCTCTGAATAACTTTGCCTTTCAAATAAATAAATAAATCTTTACAAAAAAAAAAAGATTACTTGTGGGTGATCCTGTGCCTGGCTGGGGGATTGCCTGCCTGGCCCATGCAGGTTGGAGGGCGTGGCACACCATGCCTCCAGGGATGGCCTGACTGTTGGCAGGTGGCAGGAGCCCCAGGAACATATCCCCCACCCCCCACTCCCTGTTGAAAGGCCTTGTAATTACCAATCAGGTAAATGGCTCCCAGGTGTGGCCCATAAGGATCACCTGGAAGACTATGCACGCTACATGACCTTCAAGCTGATTGGAGAAGCACAGCAGCGCCAACATCGGCTTGATCTGACAGAACCAGTGTTGCCTTGAATTAGCTCCGCCCCCTCTGCCTGCCCTTTAAAAGGTGTGTTTGACTGTAAATCAATGAATATTGTCACCCAAACCTTTCCCTAGTGCTTCTTGTCGAAGAACGCCATCGCCCTACCATCCCAGCAGTGCGCAGGCCTCGCAGGATGAGCCTGCAATTACTACTTTAAAGGAACTGCTAAGGAACTCCTGAAGTAGTAATATTCTTTTTTAAAGATTTTATGTGAGAGGCAGAGTTACAGACTGTAAGAGGGAGAGACAGAGAGAAAGGTCTTCTTTCCGTTGGTTCACTCCCAAATGGCCGCAATGGCTGCAGCTGCGCGGATCCGAAACCAGGAGCCAGGTACTTCTTCCAGGTCTCCCACGCAGGTGCAGGGACCCAAGGACTTGGGCTGTCTTCGACTGCTTTCCCGGGCCACAGCAGAGAGCTGAATTGGAAGAGGAGCAGCCGGGACTAGAACCAGTGCCACATGGGATGCCAGCGGCAGCGGATTAACCTATTGCACCACGGCGCTGACCCCGAGAGGTAGTAATTTTCAAGTTATTGTTTCCTCAAAAAAGTTTATAACTGCATTTACTGTTACCCATGTGTTTAACACATAGATAGACATTAACAAGATCTAAATATTAAGTACAATAATATCAGTAAACATACATTATCTTTTTTTTTTAAAGATTTTTTTTTTATTTGACAGGCAGAGTTATAGACAGTGAGAGGGAGAGACAGAGAGAAAGGTCTTCCTTCCATTGGTTCACGCCCCAAATGGCCACTATGGCCGGAGCTGTGCCGATCCGAAGCCAAGAGCCAGGTGCTTCCTCCTAGTCTCCCACAAGGGTGCAGGCGCCCAAGCACTTGGGCCATCCTCCACTGCCTTCCCGAGCCACAGCAGAGAGCTGGCCTGGAAGAGGAGCAACAGGGACTAGAATCTGGCGCCCATATGGGATTCCGATGCTAAAGGCGGAGGATTAGCCAAGTGAGCCACAGCGCCGGTCCAGTAAACATACATTATCTTTCAATAAGATTAAAAAGGAGGATTGCTCCTTGAAAATATTATGCTAAATGAAAGAAGCCAGTCACAAATAACCACATATTCTATGATTCCCCTCATTTCGATGTCCAGAGCAGGCCAATCTATGCTGATGGAAAGCAGATCCATAGCTGCCTAGGGCTTGTGAAGGTATGCAGGGTGAGAGATAAAGAATACAAAATTCCTTTTGGGGTAATAAAAATGTTCTAACACTGACTTTGGTGATGGTTGCACCTATCTGTGACTACACTAACAACCTATCATTTGTATACACTCTAAATAGGTGACTTCCATCATCTATAAATTATATCTCAATAAAGCTGTGAATAGGGGCCGGCGCTGTGGCATAGTGAGTTAACACCCTGGCCTGAAGCGTCTGCATCCCATATGGGTGCCAGTTCAAGACCCAGCTGCTCCATCTCCCATCCAGTTCTCTCTTTCAAATAAATAAATAAATCTTAAAAAAAAATAAAGCTGCTAACAAAATAAAGAGGCCTGAATACAAAATTATACACTAGATGGAACCTCAGGTACTATATTCTTAAAAATGGACTAATTTCTATGGCCTGGGAAAGCAGTAGAAGACAGCCCAAGTCCTTGGGCCCCTACAGCGTGTGGGAGACCCGGAAGAAGCTCCTGGCTCCTGCCTTCGGATTAGCACAGCTCCAGCAGTTGCAGCCATCTGGGGAGTGAACCAGTGGATGGAAGACCTCTCTCTCTTTCTGTACCTCTCTCTGTAACTCTGTCTTTCAAATAAATAAAATAAATCTTTTAAAAAAAAGTCATAGGGTTAAACTTAGCTTCCATCTACAAAAATAAAGCAACTCTGTTGTCTTACAGATCCTACCTCTTGTAAAATCATGGAAGTACCATTTTTACCAGAAGATGGGAAAAGTAAAAACCTAGAAAGTTCAATGTCATATTTCATCAGTACTATGGGGACCTTACAATTTGAAATGAACTTTCTTTGTAAATTCTAAATTGTTAAAATATTAAAAAAATTGTTTAGAATACTGAGATTTATTTAAAAGAAGATAAAAAAAACCAACAGCTTGGCAGGCCCTCTGCTTCCAGTTAACTATGGCATTTCAAAGTCAGAGAGGCCAGCGCCGTGGCTCAATAGGCTAATCCTCCACCTGCAGCGCCGGCACACCGGGTTCTAGTCCCGGTCGGGGCACCAGATTATGTCCCGGTTGCCCCTCTTCCAGGCCAGCTCTCTGCTGTGGCCCAGGAGTGCAGTGGAGGATGGCCCAAGTGCTTGGGCCCTGCACCCCATGGGAGACCAGGATAAGTACCTGGTTCCTGCCTTCAGATCAGCGCGGTGCACCAGCCGCAGCAGCCATTGGAGGGTGAACCAATGGCAAAGGAAGACCTTTCTCTCTGTCTCTCTCTCTCACTGTCCACTCTGCCTGTCAAAAAAAAAAAAAAAAAGATATTAAAAAAAGTCAGAGATTGATAAATCAATGGAGATTGATATTCGGACCTCTGATGGGCTGTATGTGTTCTGCCTTTCCAAAAATTACTTGACGTTAGTTTTGCATCCACCACTGCATAAACTTCACAGATGACACTGAATTTGGAATGTTCCTCCTAATGTAATTTCTAATAGCAATGTATTTTTCCATGATCCTAAGTATAAGTACATAATACTAACTGTATGAAAAATCCAGTGTTTAGTCATTCTCGCCAAACACTAAAGTATTGCCTAGCAAGTTAACAATCAAAATAAAAACATGAAAAAGCCAAGACTCACAATAATGCCATGCTCCAAAGTTACCACCTTCTATAAATTATAAATATAGGTCATTTTAGCTCAACGCTGTTACTTAAAGTGTACCAAAATATCCAGATCTACAGCTGTACTGGGAACCTGCACACTAAATCCAATAGATGACTGCCAGAAATAACTTACAAGGAATCAAAACCCACAGATATTTGTAAAATATATACTTTTCAGCATTTTACTTGTCAGAAACAAGAAGTACAAAACAGAGATAAAGCCAAATAGAAATAGTTACCTGGTAACTTGTGTCCCAGTTACATTTTCCAGCATATCAGACAGGGTGAGAAAAATCCCTCTTACACTTTTCAGCTTCTGAGATGCTTCAGACATTGGATAATGATAAAGAATCTCTTGCTGTTAGAAGAAAGGAAACAGACACGATCAGATCCCTGAAATTTCCCAACTATCATGTTGGTCACGCAGTGCCCAGATTTTGTGTTAAGAAAAAAAAAAAATGAATCCTTTCACCTTCAGAGGGAGATTTATTCAAACACAAGGACAGAACTATGCCTGCAGTTTGAGCACATTAACTAGCATTTAAAATAATACATATGAATTGAGTTAAAGATGCTAAATGGTCATGATATAAAATATATGCTAAACAGGATACTGGTTATTCAGAATTACAGCTAATTTCAAACAATAGTTTTAGACTTTAACCTTCCTAATAATAGCTTGTAATACTAACATATTATTATACAAATATTCTCACCTCTTGTGTTAATCTAGCTACACAGACACCACATGCAACTTTTAGGATTCTTTAACTCAATCACTCTCATACTGACTTTTAAAAGAGAAAATCTTCATCACCTATAGTGAAGTCATCATAAATTTGTGTAGTCCAAAGTAAGATTGAAATTAAACTTATGAAGTAAGTATAAAAAATGAAATCACGTTAGTAAAAACAGGAAAAAAAAAGTATGACACTGTAAAATCTTATCTATATTAAATTTGAAAGTGCCTGCATAGCACAAATTAATCTGAATTCAAACTTCAACAAGTAATATAAGTTATGGAAAATACTAGATCCATAATATAATTCACAAAAAGCTTCCAGTTCACTGTCTTCAAGAAGAGTATGTTCCCAGGAAACAGTTTTTGAGAAATAAAATAATAAATTTCACGATTAGGATGTGCATGCACTGTGTTAAGACTTTAACACAAAGAGATGAGACATTCTCACATCACGTTTTGCTGTTTTTTTGAAGCAACATCTATTTTCCTCACAAGGCCAGCAGAAAGCAGGCAAAATAAAGTTTTCGAGATAGAAACCATGCTGAACCCAGAGTAGCTTCCAGGTACAGTTTAATGACTACATACATAAATTAATGTAGCCACAACTGAAAATCTAAATTACTTAAATATCTTTTCATTGCTCCCCTACTCCCCACCCAAAAGTGTTCTAAACCTTGCTTTGGTGTCTTTCTATACAAGAAATAATTACATGACATGGAGTTCATGTCTTGGAAACTTTTACATTATGACAAAAATAAATAACTATAAACTAGACACATCAGCTTTATAGACCTACTAAGCACATTCAATATATTCAAAGTACAATAGAAGATGTTGGCCAAAAATACACTGCCTTACAATATGAATTTTCTTGCAACATTTCTAGTGTAAGAATAGTTACCAAACATTATTTTATCTCTAGAAATGAAGTCAAACAGCAAGTATCTTCTTTTGTGTCTACCTAATAAATGTAAACACTGGCCAATAAATAATTTTATTGTGGTTAGCCCAAATATCAAACACAACTTTAAACAAACAACCATATACCCTTTGATTAATTATTTGAAATATCACAGTTTATAGTCCTTTAACTTGAAGAAGACAAGCTTTTATTAAATATGTAACTCCCAGAAAACCAAATGACCCTATGACATTTCATTGTAAAACAAGTCACACCCATAAAAAAAGGTCACTTGAGAAAGTCTCTCTTCTAGCCATAAAAGCTTCACTATTAAAGACTTGGCAAGCTCTACTACTCCTAGCTGGTTTAATTAGCTGTATTTTTAAGCACTTGTTAGTGGCATGCAATTGCAGCAGCCTCTCCTCTGTTCAATGAAAATAAAAAGCTCCTCTTCATTACAATGTTGATACAGGGCTGGCAACAGACAGAAACCTATTCATTGGACAAATATCTACACTCTTTCCCATGGAAAGAAAGGCAAGGATGACAAAAGGTCTTCGCAGGATTCTGCTCCAAAAAAACACCCAGAAAGATTCAGGTTGTTATCGTCTCACAAATTTGTCCTACGTTTTCTGTAATAAATGCTTAAATGTCTCTTTTCTTTTAAAGATAATAAGCTACCAGTAATACACACCAGAAATTCTCCAGAAATAAGAATTATTTGCTGTAGGTCTTTATGTATTTTTCACAACAAAGAAAATTACAACAATATGTAAAACTAAATCCCTTCTTTGCCATTTCAATTGTTTATTATATGTCGATGCATGAAGCAGCACAAAGAAATGCATCCCTTGGATAAAATGGCGTTGGCACTGAGAATGGAGGCTGAAAGGACTTCAAAAGCAAAGAGCGACAGGCATTCGGCCTAACGACTGGGCTGCTGGCTCAGACGCCCACATCCCGTGTCAGAGTGGCTGGCTTGGCTGACTGGCTGCGGCTCCTCACTCCAGCTTCCTGCTAAGATAGACCCTGGCAGACATCACTTGAGACAGCTCAAGTAATTGGGTCCCAGCCACCCATATGGGACACTTGGATGGTGTTCCAAACTCCTAGCTCTGACTCAAGCCCAACCCTGGCCATTGTGGGCATTTAGAAAGTGAGCCAGGAGATGGGAGTCTATTCCTTCTTCCCAAAACAAACAAACAAAAAACCCAAAAAAGTAAATAAATAATATAAAGCAGATAAATGTAGATTAGCTGAAAACTTTTGGGTTCTTATTTTTGAGGAAAGCATAATGGAACATTAGATGCTTTGAGAGACTGTCACGCTGTGAAACTGGATCCATGGCCAAAATGTACTGTACTTGTTTTGCAAGTAGAGCTTTCCAAGGGCACGCTCCCTGTACTCGTCCAACTCCCTTTCTCATTACCACAAAGCAAGCTGAGCCTCGGCTGGGAGTGGTGAGTGGTGGGTAGAAGGCCAGAAGCAGGGTCGCCTCAACAGCTGAGGCCCACAACAGCTTCACTCAGAACACTGAGAACATTGCTCCTGGGAGGAATTAACGTAGTTCTCATGGGAGCCCGGTTACTTCTTTCAAGAAGGTTGTTATTAGAGAGCAAGACTGCCCCTTCCCTGGTCTCTCTCTGGCTTCTTGTCTTGCCATATGATCTCTCCTGCTCACAATCCTGCCTTGATGTGATGCAACCAAGGAGCTCTCGCCAACGGTTGAATCAATGGGGCCACCTGACCACCTGATGTTGCACTCTCAGCCTCCAGAACTGTGAGCTAAATACATCTCTGTTCTTTATACATTACTTTTTTTTTTTTTTTTTTTTGACAGGCAGAGTGGACAGTGAGAGAGAGAGACAGAGAGAAAGGTCTTCCTTTGCCGTTGGTTCACCCTCCAATGGCTGCTGCGACCCGCGCGCTACGGCCAGCGCACCACGCTGATCCAATGGTAGGAGCCAGGTACTTATCCTGGTCTCCCATGGGGTGCAGGGCCCGGGCCATCCTCCACTGCACTCCTGGGCCACAGCAGAGAGCTGGCCTGGAAGAGGAGCAACCGGGACAGAATCCGGCGCCCCGACCGGGACTAGAACCCGGTGTGCCGGTGCCGCAAGGTGGAGGATTAGCCTAGTGAGCCGCGGCGCCGGCTTTTTTATACATTACTTAACATTAAGTACTTTGTTACAGCAATGGAAAACAGATGAATATGAAATTTTACAATAAATAGTTTACACATTTTTAATATATAAAATATAGTAAGTAGGTACTAAAATCATTCTCAAATTATGGAATCATAAAAAAGAGCACTAAAATATTGATGACAATAGCATGTAGGTAAAGAGGAGGGGAAGTTGGAGTTAATGTGTATTAGGAGGGGCCGGTGCTGTGGCATAGTGGGTAAAGCCACCACCTGAAGTGCTGGCATCCCATATGAGTACCAGTTCGCGTCCCAGCTGCTCCTCTTCCAGTCCAGCTCTCTACTATGGCCTGGGAAAGCAATGTAAGATGGCCCAAGTCCTTGGGCCCCTGTACCCGCCTGAGAGACCTGGAAGAAGCTCCTGGCTTCGGATCGGCACAGCTCCGGCCATTGCTGCCAATTGGGGAGTGAACCAGCGGATGGAAGATCTCTCTCTCTCTCTCTCTCTCTCTGCCTCTCCTTCTCTCTCTGTATATCTCTGACTTTCAAATAAATAAATAAATCTTAAAAAAAATGTATTAGGAGCCTTGAATTATTTTGAAAAGGGGTTAAGATAGGGTTTAACTTTAGAATCTGTTAAGACAAATAATAACTTAAAAATTAGAGTTTACAGGCCAGCGCTGCGGCTCACTAGGCTATTCCTCTGCCTTGCGGCGCTGGCACACCGGGTTCTAGTCCCGGTCAGAGCGCTGGATTCTGTCCCAGTTGCCCCTCTTCCAGGCCAGCTCTCTGCTGTGGCCAGGGAGTGCAGTAGAGGATGGCCCAAGTGCTTGGGCCCTGCACCCCATGGGAGACCAGGAGAAGCACCTGGCTCCTGCCATCAGATCAGCGCGGTGCGCCAGCTGCAGCACGCTGGCTGCGGCGGCCATTGGAGGGTGAACCAACGGCAAAAAGGAAGACCTTTCTCTCTGTCTCTCTCTCTCACTGTCCACTCTGCCTGTCAAAAAAAAAAAAAAAATTAGAGTTTATAACAGGAATAATAATGATATAAGGAGTCAAAAATAGGTAAGAAAAATGTTACAAAAAAGGCAATTCAAACAGAAATTTCTAAAGAAGGTGGCAGAAACAAATATATATATACTGTATAAAAATGTTTCATTGAGCTTGTCAATTAGAAGTTAAAGATTGCCAGATAAAAATTACATTTATGAGAGACACATCAAAACCATAAAGATACAGATGACAAAAAACTGTCTCAAATATATAAAGTAAAAATATTTAGAAGTGGAGGAGAAAACAGACAAATCCCTATCAATGTGGAAGATTTCAATGCTTCTCTTAATTATGAATAGACTAAACAGACACAAAATCTGAACCTAAGTAATAATTCAAAACATTTGTGGGGCTGGCATTGTGGAATAGTGGGTAAACCTGCCACCTGAGATGCTGGCATCCCTTGTGGGTGCTGGTTCATGTCCACACTGCTCCACTTCCAATCCAGCTCCCTGCTAATGCGCCTGGGAAAGCAGCAGAGAATGGTCCACATGCATGGGCCCCTGCACCCACTTGGCAGACTCAGAAGAAGCTCCTGGCTCCTGGCTCTGGCCTGTCCCAGCCATGGCCATTGTGGCCATTTGGGGAGTGAATCAGTGGACAGAAGATACCTCTCTCAGCTCTCCCCACCCCAACTGCCTTTAAAGTAAAATAAATATATCTTTAAAAACATTTTTTAAAGCTGTTCATTATTCCCTGGGAAGATACTTTAGAGAGGAACTCACCTCTTCCTTAGATGCCTCTGAGTCAAGCTGAAGTGTGAGATACATAATGATATGAGGGGTGCTCAGGGCATCCTGCAGGACACCATCAGCCCCCTCTCCCCACAGAAGCTGGACTAAATCGTTTGCACTTGACTGGGCCTTTTTCTGTCTTGGTTGGGCTGTTTCCTTTTTCACAGCATATGCATTTTCAAATGTCAGTTTCACCTTTAAAAAAATGAAAACAACTGGTTGATTTTTCAACAAAGGAAAATGAGCTGCAAGTTTTACAAACAAGGATCTGTGCACACACTCAGGCATGCACAGTACACATAAAGCACCCTAGGGAGGGTTCCTGATGGCAGGGGCAGTATGCTCTCTACACAGTTGTATCTCCAGTTGCTAAAACAGTGAGTGACCTATCATTGTAAACATCTCTTGAATAGGAATTTATAATGCACTGTCCCAAAATTCATTTATTTAAGTGTAATCACTGTGAGCAAACAGTGATCTGACAGTGTAAGAGTTAATGCTACATTATGAATGCCATGGCACTGACGCATCTGGGGGAGATAAAGAGATTAAGAGCCACCTCTCACAACCAGCTGGCTGTCTTTTCAAATGAGGTAGTATTTCAATATTCTTCTCTCAGACATTCTTTGTGGTCCTTTAGAGCAAAGGTCAAAGATAAACAACTATCAACATGCTGGACAGTGGACTATCACCCTGAGGAGACTACCGGTTTATCAAGACAGGTTTAATTTCATGGCCTGCTGTCAGGATTGGTAAGAGTCCAGAATGTGGCCATTTTCCAGTCGTTGAAAGGTAGCTTCCACTTCTCAATTACCTTTCTTTGAAAAAGGAGACGTTTGTCTGGATGCCAGTTGGCCAAAGACAACTCACTTACTTCAAGAAAGGACCAGATGTGTCTCAAAAAGAAGTTTTCAATCAATACAGTTAATTTTGTATAGTCAGGACATCATCAGAAGCTATATGAAAACAAAGTACTCTTGATGTCTAAAAATCTCATGAGAATACACACGAGTAAAATGGACATTCTAACAGTATTGATCCATAGAAACTTCCATTTAAATATTAAAGTCCAATGATTCTTTTCTAAAATATAATCAAATTTCAAAAGCCAAAAAATAAATTCATGCTTGATCAAGAATAATGAAGCATAGTCATACTGAAAAGCAGATAAAATTGTTTGTATATTATAAGTTATATTTTTTGGGGGAAATATTTAAAAATTATTTCTAAGACACAGAAATAATACCTATTTTAAAATAAATTATTGTAAATCATTTTCAAGGCTGAATTTAAATATATGATAAAAATGAACACAGCATTATCATTCTTTTTAAAAAATGAGCTTTAGGGTCCAGTGCTGTGGCAGAGCAGGTATTAAAGCCATCACTTGCAGTGCCAGCATCCTATATGGGTTTGAGTCCCGGCTGCTCTACTTCTTTTCCAGCTCCCTGCTAACGAGTCTGAGAAATCAGAAGATGGCCCAAGTTCTTGGACCCCTGAACCCACATGAGAGACCCAGATAAAGCTCCTGGTTCCAGGCTTTGGCCTGGCCCAGCCCTAGCTGTTGTGGCCATTTGGGGAGTGAACCAGTGGATGGAAGAGCTCTCTCTCTGTGTCTCTGCCTCTGCCTCGTCTTCTCTGTTACTCTTTCTGCTTCACCCTCTCTGTAACTCTTTCAAATAAATAAATAAATCTTTTTTAAATGAGCTTTATTTATTTATATATTTTCTTTAAAAAGTTAAATATCTTAAAAAATATTACCTATAACCCCACCTACCCTTTAACTGTTACTCATTCACATGACACTATAAAATAAATGCCTTTATGAAGAAAGCCTTCTAGTAGAAAAAAATACAGATACTCCTTTCTTTGTTGGAAAGGAGTGACTGCTTATGCTATATTCAGTTTTATCTGTAGCTGACTATGACATTTCAGGAGTACAAGTTACTTTTATGTACCAAAAGTGAGTGAAGCTCATATTTTCTGAGTCTAAGATTTTATTTTGTAAACAAGTGGGAAGGAAAGGAGAGGAGAACAGGGGAGGGGAGGAGGAGGACGGAGGGCAGGAAGGAGAGAGGAGAGGAAAGAAATGAAAAAAGACAAGGGGCCTAAATTCAACTATATGTAAGAATTGAGAGTAAAGGTAAAATAGGTCACGGCTACCAGTACTTTAGATAGAGAGGAGAAATTTTTCATAAAGTCATTCTAAAGCCTGATGATCATGTTCATTTATAAAACATTTAATGTAATTTCAAATGGAGATCAATACTAACTAAATTTTTTGTTTTCTATAAACCTGACGTTGAAAAATGGGCCCTTGGTCTTAGAACACTGCATCCAAAAAGGCTGAGTAGAAAATTAGTGTATGGGGGAAGGGGGAAGGAAACAGCAAGCTAAATAAAAACTGAAGAGACTGGAGCCAGGGCCATGGCAAAGTAGATTAAGCCTCCACCAGCGCTGGTTCATGTCCCAGCTGCTCCACTTCCGATCCAACTCTCTACTAATGGCCTGGGAAAGCAGTAGAAGATGATCCAAGTGCTCGAGCCCCCGCACACACATGGGAGACCTGGAAGAAGCTCCTGGCTCCTGGCTTCAGATCGGCCCAGTCCCAGCCATTGCAGCCATCTGAGGAATGAATCAGTGAATGGGAGACCTCTCTCTCTGTCTCTGTCTCTGTCTCTGTCTCTGTCTCTCTCTCTCTGAGTGTAACTCTGCCTCTCAAATAAATAAATATTTAAAAAATAATTACAGAGACTATGAGAACAATCAAGGTCTACTGTCTGATGAAAATGAATAAGAGGTTAAGAGGAGAAAGAGTTAGAGATACTGTTTAAGAAATCACTACATAAGGATAAGAAACAGAATATTTGGTGTGAGGTTTTGATCCAGACAAACTACTCAGAAGCACTAATATGGCCTGAGAGACTGTTCTGAGGGCAGTATCTGTTCTAGTGGGGATGGCTCAATAAATGTATATGTAAGTTTACATACAACTATGAGCACAGGTAGAGGTGGAGGAGAAATCTGACTGGAGGAGGCACAAGATGAGGGAAACTCTAGGGAGGTGGATGGTGGCAGATGAGCTTGGGTGTGCAGGGGTGTGTGTCTGAGAGCTGAGTGGGAACAGTGAGCAAGGAGGAGGTGTGGGCCTCGGAGGAGGAAACGTGTCGTAGGACAGTGAGGACATCTCTCCCAGCTGACATTCTCACAGTTGGAAAGGTCAAAAGATAGGGTGTAACCCACCGAAAGTGTGAAAAGCAAATGAGTTAAACACACAAATTCACCAATTTTGCTTTAGGCAGCAACAACAACCCCACAGTTAAGACTGGTTTGCTATGCCTGGTGGGGAATGACATATGTACTTGAAAGCTAACTTTAATGTTATCCTTGGCAAAAGACATGGCTTCTTCTCTGAGGGGCAGGGACCTAATCCCCTCACCATGACAAAAACCCAAACAAAAACACACACCACAGAGCCGACCATTAAAATTCTTTAAGGAACCCTTTCAGCTGCCATTCTTCTGATTTCAGTGAAGCTGGCACATAATGCAAAGATAATTATACTTTAGAGAAGACATTTTTAAAAGCTCATATGTTAAGCAGCTGTGAATGTCAGGAAATCTGGTTGCCTTGATAAAATGAAAAAGGCTAAGACCAGAAAACCAAACTGAGTTAAGAGCTGTTTTTTTAAAAAGGGATTGATATACATAAATATTAAGGATATGACATGTTTTATAGGAAAACACTTTTATTAAGCAACCCCTAATGTAAGTTGGTTTATATGAAACTTTCTTATAAAGGGTTTTCTGCCGTTCTTCCACAGATTTTCACCCATGCCAAAGTTCATGAGCCCTCCGCTGCGGCCTCTCTTGTATTCGTGCAATCTGTCCTTCTTTCCAGTTCAGGACATGATGCACTTTCCTCAGGCCCAAGGACATGCTCTCTATATTCATCACTTCCCAAATCACTTCATGGTTTAACTATCCCCTCTTCCTACCTCCGTCTTCAACCCACCCTATCTCAGGAGCAATGGTTCTTTAGCATCTACCAAACAGACTCTCTCTCAGGCTCTCAGGTTCTGAAGCAGCCGTGGAGACTGGTCGTCCTGCAGCTGCCTCAGTCTGCACTGACCCTCCCACAACACTCATGCTGTTCTCAGAAGGTCCCCTCTTCCCTCTCTGGCTCACAACTGGCAGATGCTTTCAATATTCCGTAGTCAAAAATGTGAAGGAATTGAGTCTAACCGGTTCAGCAAATGAATTCTCATCCATGCTCTTTTCTTGGGCAACTTCACTGAGTTACTCAAGATACAACCTGGAAGGCAGCTTGGACCGGTCTCCCTCCTACTGGAAGCACTGCTTCCTTCACTTCCCCTGCATCTTAAATCTCATCTACTCCTCTGCCACCACCGTAGTCAATGTCTTTGCTCAGGCCTTTCCCACCTTCCTTCTGCACTACTGCAAACCTTATCAGACCCAACTGGGCCTACCCTCCCCCAGTCAGGGTGCGTTTACCTAAAATGCAAATCTGGTCACATTAGTCCTCCACTTTAAAATATTAACATCTGGCTAGGCATATGACCAGTTAGGATACTCCCATCCCAGAATGTACTGAGTTCGATACCCATCTCTGGCTCCTGACTCCAGCTTCCTGCTATGTAGACACTTGGAGACAGCAGTGATAGCTTAAGTGGCTGAGTTCCTGTCACCCAGGGAGACCTGAATTGAATACTCAGTTCCTAACTGCCCATGGCCCAACTCTGGCCATTGCAGGCATTTAGGGAGTGAACTAGTGGACAGGAGCTCTTTCTCCCCACTCCCAAATATATAAATATTTAAAAATAAATACAATACTGAAATAGATGGTTATTTCTGGGTTCTGAGAATAGAAAGCATTTATAAATTTTTAGAATTTTTTTTAATTTTCCTGTTTCTTAATTTTACCATAGTATATTTAAGTATCACTTTTGAATAGCAAGAAAATAATAAAAGCTAAAACAATCAAGTATCATCTTCTTTAAGAAGTTATAAGAGCTTTTCTTCAGGCCTAAGAAGTAGCTGAAGCCCAAGAGTCCAAGACTAATCAATGATCTGAAGGCTGATCTCCCAAGAAAGGAAGTGGGGCCGGCGCCGTGGCTCAATAGGCTAATCCTCTGCCTGCAGCGCTGGCACACCAGGTTCTAGTCCCGGTCGGGGCGCCGGAGTCTGTCCCGGTTGCTCCTCTTCCAGGCCAGCTCTCTGCTGTGGCCTGGGAGTGCAGTGGAGAATGGCCCAAGTGCTTGGGCCCTGTACCCCATGGGACCAGGAGAAGCACCTGGCTCCTAGCTTTGGATCAGCGCGGTATGCCAGCCGCAGCATGCTGCCGGAGCAGCCACTGGGGGGGTGAACCAACGGAAAAAAAAGAAAGACCTTTCTCCCTGTCTCTCTCTCACTGTCCACTCTGCCTGTCAAAAAAAAAGTGGGGGGGGGGGGGAGTGGGAAAAGCAGCTATGGCCCAAGGCTCAATGAGATCAACCCTTGTCAAATACACCTTGGACCCAAGCTCCCTGATGATGCTAGGAGACAGTATGATGTGCTGCATGCACACCTGTGTGCATGTGGAATAAATGAGTGTATAGAGCTGCAGCCAGGGATCAAGGTCACCAAAGTCAGTCATTAGAAGGGTACTTGTACTGTCACTTTAAATTTCTGAATTTTTTAAAAAAAATCTATAATTTCTAAAATATTTCAAACCTATAGAGAAGTTATAAGAATGTAATGATCACCCATATATCCCTCATCCATTCTTCATCAGTGTTAATATGCTGCAGCATTTGCTTCATTCCATCTCTTCTCTAGCCTTGTTCCCTGCGCTTCTCCATTCCCCCCTCTCTCCCCAGATATCTAAAAAAAATTGAGGAGCTGAACTATTTCAAAATTATTTGAAGATATTTCCATGCTTCATCCCTAAGTGAAATATTTGTCTCATAAGAATAAGGGCATAGGGCCGGCGCCGCGGCTCACTAGGCTAATCCTCCGCCTAGCGGCGCCGGCACACGGGGTTCTAGTCCCGGTTGGGGCGCCGGATTCTGTCCCGGTTGCCCCTCTTCCAGGCCAGCTCTCTGCTGTGGCCAGGGAGTACAGTGGAGGATGGCCCAGGTGCTTGGGCCCTGCACCCCACGGGAGACCAGGAAAAGCACCTGGCTCCTGGCTCCTGCCATCGGATCAGCGCGGTGTGCCGGCCACAGCACGCCGGCCATTGGAGGGTGAACCAACGGCAAAGGAAGACCTTTCTCTCTGTCTCTCTCTCTCACTGTCCACTCTGCCTGTCAAAAAAAAAAAAAAAAAAAAAAAAAAAAAAAAAGAATAAGGGCATCCTTCTATACAACTATAATATAATTATCACACTTAGGAATTTTAACATTAAATACAACACTATTATCTAATAAAATTCAAGTTCAGATTTTCCCAATTGTGCCCATACTGCCATTCCCCACTGCAGTCCAGGATCAATCAAGGATTACTGACTATATTTACAGTCATGAAGCCATATAAAGACAGTGATCCCATAAGACTATAATGGAGTTCAAAACCTCCTATTGCCTGGTGACTCAGTCATCACAATGTCAAATCATAGCACAACACATGACTCACATATTTGTGGTGATGTTGGTGTAAAAAAATCTATTGTGCCACCAGCTGCATGAAAGTATAGCTTATGCAATCTGTGTACAGACATAAAAATAAATGACTGTTGGGGCAGGCACTGTGGCGTAGTGGGATAAGCTGCTGCCTGCATTGCCAACATCCCATATGTGTGCCACCGGTTCAAGTCCCAGCTGTTCAACTTCAGATCTAGCCCCCAGCTAATGCTCCTGGGGAAGCAGAGGAAGACAGCCCAAGTCCCTAGGCCCCTGCACCCACATGGGAAACCTGGATGAAGCTCTTGGCTCCTGGCTTCAGCCTGGCCCAGCCCGAGGACACTGCAGCCATTTGGGGGTGAACAAGAGGATGGAAGTTCTCTTTCTCTCTTTCTCTCCTTTTAACTCTGTATTTCTGTAAATCTGTCTTTCAAATAAATAAATAAATCTCTCTTAAAAAAGATAATCAATGACTGTTACTGCTATTTACTATACTTTTATCATTAGAGTGTATTCCCATTTATATTTTAATTTTACTATTCTGTGTTACACCCACAGCAGCCTCATAACGCAGTCTTTTACTACACCTCTTCATTGTATCATTTTCTCTTAGGTCTGATTTTAAGCCTACGCCACTTTGTTATCATGGTCCTAAGTAGTAACAGGCTATCCCGAGCAGGTACACCACACACTCTGGGTATACACACCATCCAGCTTTCTGTGACTATGTTCCCTGATGTTCACACAGTGACGAGATTGCCTAATGACACATTTCTCAGAATATATCCTATCATTAAGTGACACATGACTACTGTATGTCACTTTGTCTTATACTAGAATAGTTCTGTAGGCCTTTTTCTTTCATAATATTAACTTTTTGAATAACTTAAGATGACTGTTTTACAAAATGTGAAAACCTGGCTTTAAAAGAAATGATCTGAGGCCGGCGCCATGGCTCAATAGGCTAATCCTCCACCTTGCGGCACCGGCACACCGGGTTCTAGTCCCGGTCGGGGCGCAGGATTCTGTCCCGGTTGCCCCTCTTCCAGGCCAGCTCTCTGCTATGACCCGGGAGTGCAGTGGAGGATGGTCCAAGTGCTTGGGCCCTGCACCCCATGGGAGACCAGGAAAAGCACCTAGCTCCTAGCTTCGGATCAGCGCAATGCAGCAGCCGCGGCGGCCATTGGAGGGTGAACCAACGGCAAAAAGGAAGACCTTTCTCTCTGTCTCTCTCTGTCCACTCTGCCTATCAAAAAAAAAAAAAAAAAAAAAGATCTGGGTTTTTTGTAGTTCACTAAGTACACAGGCTTTGCTTCTGGGCCTCATTCTGTATTCTGAATCTATTTATAACAGAAATTATTTAAAAAGCAAACAGAGAACTGCAGAGTTGGAATTGGGCTCAGAGATTGTCCTCTCAGATCCCCTCTAATTATAGATGAGGAAACTGGAACCCAGAAGAGTTTGGAAACTTGTTCAGAACAAGGTTGAATCTGACCTCCTTCTCCCTGGTGATCTCTTTACCACATTAATCTCCTGGGCCATCTTCTACTGGATTACAAGAAGCTTTTGGACCACTTTTATATCCTGATTATACACAAAAAATGGTACCGTTAGGTATTCCCAGATTAAAATGGTAAAAATTCTTCTGTGACATTCTTCAACACTCTTCTTCTCTTAATGCTTGAATAACTGTTTCAAATGCCACAAATGCAAACTGAATACAACAGCTTTTTCAGAGACAAGTCCTTATCAATTAGTTTTGGCCCTGGAAGAACAAGTGGGCACAAATACCAAGATCCATATAGGTTGTATGTGAAACAGAAAGATCATGCTATGGAGTCAGTTTGGGTGCCAGTTCTTTGAGTTATTAATTTTGTATCTTGGGAAAGCATTATATCTTAGATTTCATTTTATATATAAAGTAGGACTACTAATTATTGGGAACAAAATAACTGCAACAGCCAGGGCTGGGCTCGTCTGAAGCCAGGAGCCAGAAACTCCATGTGAGTCTTCTGCAAGGGTGGCAGGGACCCAAGCACTTGAATCATCATTTGCTGCCTCCCAGGGTGAACATTTGAGCCATCTTCTGTTGCTTTTCCCAGGCTATTAGCAAGGAGCTGGACAGGAAGTGGAGCAAACAGGACAAGAACCGGTGCCTATACGGGATGCCAGCATTGCAGGCAGTGGTTTTACTGGGCTATGCCACAGCGCCAGACCCAGGAATTCTGTTCTTCATCCTGATGAAAACAAACACAAACTTCATCCCCTCACCGCCTGATGGATCCTCTAACCTATCTAAACCATATCACCTTCCTGACGCCCCAAGAGAAAGCTAATTCCTGATGCTAATGAGAACAGACTATTCATAAATAAAAAATAGAGCACTTTCAAAATACATGTAATAACCTAAAAATGTCATCTATATTGCAAAATGTCAATGTGATTTATTATGAAAGAAATTTGATTTTATCTACAGGGATGAAAAATAATTCACTAAGCAGCTAAATAAAAATTCAGAAGGAAGATTTAACTCGAGACCAAAAAAAATTTAAAAACAGAATAACTAGCCTTCAAAATAAACAAAACCACATTAAGAAACTTTATAAGAATAGTGATTTTAATAACTAAAAGAACAGAAAATTTCATAACAGTTTAAAATGTCTCTTCCAGGAACTCTGTTGTCATTAGTACATATGGTAATTATAGTGGCAAGTTAGTAATTGTATGTTTTTATTATCACTGCTGTTGCTGCACTACATGGGATCAGTTTCATCTACAGATTTTTTCTTTTTAGAATACCTCAAAATGTTTTTAAAAAGTTAGCAAGAGCTAACATTTCTCAAATAACCAAGTATCAATGTAACTCACCATCATACATAATTTTCAGAATCTTAAAGAAAGAAAATAATACAAGACATACTAATTTTACATAACATCATAAAATACAGAAAAAGAATGTCCACACCTGCATAGGTCCAGGAATGCAAGACAGAACTCTCTCTATGTTTTCGGAGGTTACGTCAACATCATTCACAGCAACAAGGACATCCCCTGAAAGCACAATGAATAATGATAAAAGACAGCTGTGTGGCTATCTTAACCCAAACAGACCTAGGAGCAGAATATTAAAAAGTATCTATTCTGGGGCTGGGCCGTAGCATAGTGAGTAAAGCTGCCACCTGTAGTGCTGGCATCCCTATGTAAACCAGTTCGAATCCCAGCTGCTCCACATCCGATCCAGCTCTCTGTTATAGCCTGGGAAAGCAGAAGATGGACCAAGTGCTTGGGCCCTGCACCCATGTGGGAGACCCAGACTCTTGGCTCCTGGCTTCAGATCAGCACAGCTCTGGCCATTGCAGCCAATTGGGGAGTGAACCAGTGGCTGGAAGACCTCTCTCTTGTCTCTGCCTTTAAAATAAATAAATAAAACGTTAAAAAAAAAAAGTATCTATCTGTCCTCCTCAAAGCATGATGGAAAATGTAGTACAGATATTCAGAAATTTGTCCAGGTTACAAACTAGTGTCAAAGCTAACCTCCCATTTCTTCCCTTCTCTGTCTAGAATACCATAAAAGCAACCAATTAATATTTAAAAAGATTAATATTCTCATTCTTAATACAACTGGGAGAATTATGCAAACCCAAAACATGAATGGAAAATTTGTAGCATAAACTAAGTATTGCACTCAACAAAACTGAATCTAACGGGTTAGACCTACAGTAAAAACACACACACACACACACATACAAAAACTTAAGCTGAAATTGTAACTAAATCCATGTGCCACATCGTAACTCAACAGCTGTGGTATTTACTGCTATTATTGATCTGTGTTTCCATACAGTTCTTTGATTTAAAATCCTCAACCATATCAAATGACACAGCAAGTTTCAATGAAAAATAATCTTTTCCATGGCTTTTCTTTAAATGTGTACATTTATCAAATTTGGTAATAAAACAAAGATCAATGTTAAAATAAGAATGCTTTCTGAGTATAAAGTAATACCAAAATACCAGGTAGCTATATTAATGGAAATTTACATCTATAAAATTGTTTTTCTCATCAAATAATCCATGTTCAATCAATCATTCAAAAATTATTAAGCTCCTATTATATTGCAGACACTATTCTCAGCACTTCAGACATAGAACTGACAAAACACACAAAAATCTCTATCCTCAAGAGCTTAATATTGATTGGGGAGGACAGATAATAAACATGTATACACATAAAACAGTGCTGTTCCACGATTTTCCATGGGTCTCTTGCATTCTATATATCTTCAGGCAGAGAAACTAAGAATCTTTGTTCTAAAATGTCCTTTCCTGGATGTTTCTGTAGTAAACGGCCTTGGACATCTCTGCTAAAGCAGAGGTCAAATTTGCTTGCTGCACAGCATGAGGACAATGTATTACTCAATATCTTAGTATCGGCCCTTGTTCTTTTTTTCTTTTTTAAAGCTAATTTTTTTAATATTTATTTTATTCATTTGAAAGACAGAGTTACAGAGAGAGAGAGAGAGAGAGAGAGAGAAATCTTCCATCTACTGGTTCACTCCCCAAATGTCCTCAACAGCCAGGACTGAGTCAGACTGAAGCCAGGAGCCAGGAGCTTGGATGCAGGTGCCCAAGCACTTGTGCCATCTTCCACTGCCTTGCAGGTGCATTAGCAAGGAGCTGAATCAGAAGTGGAGTAGTGGGGACTCAAAATCAGCAACCACGTGGGTTGCTGGTGTTGCAGGAGGTGGCTTAACCCACGACACCACCACGCTGGCCCCAAACCCTTGCTCTTTATGAAAGACTGGTGTTCCTTAAATTCAAAGTTCCTCTCCTTCAGTGCAACTACTAGTGTCACCTGGTTGTCTTTAGAGTTGTGGAACAGATGGAAATGCTAGGGCCTTGGGCTCTGCTCTTCCTCCCTTCCTTCTTTCTTCTCCTTGATAGTATATCTAACAGGGAAGAAGATACATGCAGAGTGAGCAGGAGCTTCTCAGGCTGCCCCATGGAGACTCAGCAAGGCCTTCACTAAGTTTAGATGCTCTAGAAATGTTAGTTGAGAGAGCTCTGCCAGTGTGACCACCCCGGCATTATGATGGTTAATGGTTACAGCACTTTGAGCAACCTGGGAACTTTTTATCTCCTCCTCACTCCCAGCTTTCTCTTCCCTCCTTCCTCTCTCCTTCTTTCCAGCTTTATTTCCTTCCTCTCATTCTGAGAGGTAAAACGAGAGAAAGAAACACCTTTCCCAAATGCCTGCAACAGCCACGGTTGGGCTGGAGCCAGGAGTGAGCAACTCAATTCACATCATCCATGTGGGTGGCAGAAACCCAATCACTTAAGCCATCTCTGCAGCCTCCCAGGGTCTGCATTAGTGGGAAGCCGGGAAGCCAGATCTGAGAACTGAATCCACGCATACTACTGTGGGAAACAAGTATCTTAACTGCTAACCTTGGAACTTTTCTTAAAAGAATGAACTCACAAAAAAAAAAAAAAAAAAAGACTGAAAGAAATCTCCAATTTTAATTCTACTTGGGGAAAAACAGCAACATGCACCTTTCATCAAACGATATATTAAACAAGAGTTCTATGACAAATTATTTTTACTTACAGTGATTTAAAAAAATAAAACAGAGGGCCGGTGCCGCGGCTGACTTGGCTAATCCTCCGCCTGTGGTGCCAGTACTCTGGGTTCTAGTCCCCATTGGGGCACCAGATTCTGTCCTGGTTGCTCCTCTTCCAGTCCAGCTCTCTGCTGTGGCCCGAGAGTGCAGTGGAAGATGGCCCAAGTGCTTGGGCCCTGCACCTGCGTGGGAGACCAGGAGAAAGCACCTGGCTCCTGGCTTCGGATCAGCGCAGTGCGCCAGCCATGACGGCCATTTGGGGGGTGAACCAACAGAAAGGAAGACCTTTCTCTCTGTCTCTCTCCTTCTCACTGTCTAACTCTGCCTATCAAAAAAAATTTTTTAAATAAACAAATAAAACAGAATGATTGACCGGCGCCGCGGCTCACTAGGCTAATCCTCCACCTTGCGGCGCCGGCACACCGGGTTCTAGTCCCAGTTGGGGCGCCGGATTCTGTCCCGGTTGCCCCTCTTCCTGTCCAGCTCTCTGCTGTGGCCCGGGAGTGCAGTGGAGGATGGCCCAAGTGCTTGGGCCCTGCACCCCATGGGAGACCAGAAGAAGCACCTGGCTCCTGCCTTTGGATCAGCGCGGTGCGCCGGCCGCGGCGGCCATTGGAGGGTGAACCAACAGCAAAAGGAAGACCTTTCTCTCTGTCTCTCTCTCTCACTGTCCACTCTGCCTGTCAAAAAAACAAAAACAAAAACAAACAAACAAAAAAAAAACAATGATGAACACAACATGGGAATGCTGATGTAAAATACAACTACTTTTGTACCATTCTAATGAAGGGTTTGACTATCTGGTTATCTTGAGGGTACCTAAACAATGAAACCATTTCAAATTTGTTACTTTAAACTAAAACTCCGTTGGATAATATCCCCAATTTTTTTTTCCTCCAAACTCTAATGAATATAATTCTGTGTTGTTCAGTATGACAGAGAGCACTCCTAAGGATATCATAGCTAATAAACCTCTAAAAGTAGTAGACAAATTATACATACAATAAATAGATAATAAAAAACAATAAAAACACATTTGAAAAGAGTGTAGTATAGTATAATATTCTATATATTTATTTTGGTTTAAAGGCACACCCACAGAAAGAGCTCCCACCCACTGTTTCACACCCCACCCCCAATTGCCTGCAATGGCAAGGGCTAGGCTGGGTAGAAGCTGGGAGCTGGGACCTCAATCCATGCCCTCTATGTGGGCAACAGGAACCAATCTACTTGAGTAATCACCTGCTCCTTCCCAGGATCTGCATTAGCAGGAAGCTCATGACAGGAGCCAGAGCTGGGTATCAAACCCAGGTACTCTGTGATAGGATGCAGGTATCCAATTGGCAGCTTAACTGCTAGAGCAAACATCTGCCCTCTTAATATTTTCAACTTCAATTAAAATGTTTTCATTCTATAAAGAGGTGTTACATCCACTTCTCATTCTCCCAGATGCTGTTTTCTTCTGGTTTTTCTGAGTACTTCTACGAAGCAACTCAGCACTGGCCAGTTTCCTGAACATCATACACATCACTGCCGTGGGCAGCCTGCACAGCAGGAAAGCTCTTTCTCAACAAGTACACTGAACTATTACTTTGCACTGTCTCATTTCACAGGCTGAAAGGAAAGGAAATGTATAAACGGGTTTTTGAACCATTAAATAAAAATTGGTCGGCAGATTATTGATGTGTAGTAGTAAGAAAAAAATTTTAACAAGAAATACATCAAGAATCAAATAAAATATCAAGAAGTGAGATAATTTCATCAGTGTTTACAGCGATTCCTTGATATAATAATTTCTCAATTGCCTTTAATTAAGAAAACTCATCAATTTCTCAGTATGTACTTAAAATCCAACAACAAATGTGGTTGATATTGTATGCTATTACACAAGGGCTAAGAAAATAGCTAAGTTTGCTTACAGCTTTATTTATACTATTACTAAATGAATATATAGATTAAGAAATTATTTTTGAAACAAAATTACTGCACATAAATAAGGTAAAAGAAAAATTACAATGTAACTTCAAAAAGTTCATGGAAAACGGAATTAAACTTCTGGTGTAAAATTTTTTGAAATCTACTTATAGTTTCTCATAATATTTTCTACATATTATGAAAAAATATTTTACACCCAAATAACCTCATGACCGTAACTGTACTTTCCAGTAACTTTCTGAAGTACATTTGTTTACATCATAATATTGCCTTTGGGTATATGGGCTTTTCCTGTTCTGCTTAATTGTTATTTTCTAAACTGTCCAAAATCAACATATTACCACTACTGTAAGGAGAAAAGAATTAAAACATATATTTTACCCCAAAGAACACCCCACTAAAGTAGGCAGAATAATGTACAAGAATAATGACCACTTTCCAAAGATGGCCACATCTCAATCCCTGTAAGCTGTGAATATGTTATCTTATTTGGCA